CACTCGCACGTGACGGGCGGCCACGTCAGCGGCCGCGCCAGCCCCAGCATGCGCAGTACGGCAGGCACGCTGTACGGCGGGGGACCCACGGGTCCGTACATGGGCAAGCTGGAGTCCATTGCGTCTTCGGCGGTGCGGGCGGCGGAGAAGGTATGAGGTATATCATGTTGAGGTTATGTAAAGTATATTAGTAAGGGGAAGGCTGGGGAAGGAGTTGTTTTCCCCGGAGGCGAGGTTACCGGTACGGCTCCTTGGTGGTGTTGGGTTTACGACGATGAGATGGATGACGATGAAGCGAACATGCCGATACGGTATTCACATGCCAGCCATGTCACGCCCTTTGCTCTTCCACCTCCTCTTTCTACACCCCCGCCACACTCACACACCAAGCCTCGTCATACAGCTCGCTAGTTTCCTCCTTTTACCCCACACCACCGTTAACACCTTTCTCCTCCTCCCACCTCCTCCTCCTTCCTCCCCCTTCCTCCCTGCCTCCAGGTCAAGGCCAGCCTGATCGTGGTGTACACCCACACTTCCCGCGTCGCCTCCCTGGTCGCAAAGTACCGCCCGCCCATGCCCATCCTCACCCTGGTGGTGCCTCGCCTCACCTCCGACGGACTGCACTGGCGGCTGCAGGGGCGGGGTCACGCGAGGCAGTGCCTCATGGTGCGCGGACTGCTGCCTATGCTGTCGGCACCGGGACCTAGTGGGGATGAGGTAATCGGGGCTTGGGGGAGAAGAAGGGGGGCAGAGGGTGGGGGATCGCTGCAAGGGGGGAGTGCTGCTGGAGGCGACTCGTTGCGCTGTGTGGACGTCCCTCGTCGTCGTTGTGCAAATGATAAGATCCTGATCCTGTCTCTCTGTCTCAAGCCGCCCCATCTCCTCTCGGTTGACCCATAGCCGTTCAAGCACATTGCCAACTCTTCCTCACCTCACCCAACTCCTCCCTGGCTCCACACTTCACCCCCCACCGCCTCACCTCACCTTACCTCCCCCCCTCCTCCTCCCAAAGGTGCTGGAGGAGGCCATCGCCATGTCCTCCCGCCTGGGTCTGGTGGGCCCCGGGCACCACGTGGTGGTGGTGGAGCGGGTGCACGACGCGTTCTGCCTGAAGATCGTGGCGGTGGACGAGCTGGGGCTGGGCATACAGCGGGACGGACCCCTGGACCCGGCGGCTGTGGTGGTGAGTGGCGGGACAGGGGAGGGGAGGAGGAGCGGGGAGCGGGGTGGAGAGGGATGGGAGGGCTGCGCGCGAAGTGAGACTTTTGATGCCATGATGTGATACCGGTACGTAAAGGCACGCTTGCACCTGCACCTAGCGTGCTTGCAGAGCCCAGAGCTCACCTTGCATGCACTTCTCCCGCCCCCAACCCCGAACCCGCCCCCCAACCCCCCTGCAGGTGCGTGCCATGGTCCCCGCCACCCCCGTGGTGGGTCGCACCCTCTCCATGATGCAAGACAGTCGCCTGCCGCCCGCAGCCCTCATCGCCGCGGCCGCACGCAACGCCGCAGCGGCAGCAGCCGGCGGTGGCGGCGGCGGCGGACCTCTGCTCGGCACCGTCGCCAGCGACGCCAACTTCGGCCCCCCCACCGCCATGGGCCCTGTGATGGGCACCATCACCTCCCTGCTGTCGCAGTCGCCCAGTAGCTACGGCGGCGGTACGGCAGGCCTGCCTGGCAGCGGCGGTCCGAGGCGCCGTACGTCACGTGAGCTGATCGAGACGCTGCCCACGTCGCCGTTTACCGGGTCGCCGCCGGTGGGGGTGGGTTTGGCGGGATTGCCTGCTGCCTCCGGCTCTTCTTACAGCGGTGGCGGCGGCGGCAATCCAACTGGCGGCGGCGGCGGCGGCGGCGGCAACCCCAACGCGGCGCGCATCAGCCTTCTCAACACTCTCATAGCCGTCGGCGGCGGCGGTGGCGGCGGCGGCGGCCCCAGCGGTGTCCTGCCGCAGATGTCATCCACTTCCGGTCTGCCGGTTCTCAACGCGCTGGGCGGCGGCGCGCCGGCGATGGATGGCCCGCTGGCGGCGGCGACGGCGGCTGGTGGCGGAAGTGACGTCATCGGCGGCGGCGGCGGCGGCGGCGGTGACATGGCGGGTTTGCGGGGTCCGCTGGCTCGCGGCGTGTTGGATGTGGTAACGGAGGAGCCCGAGGGCAATTCACCTTTCCATGAGGAGGGTGAGGAGGAGGGCACGGGGCAGGTGAGGGCCGGCGGCGGCGGCGGCGATGACGTCAAGGCGGGCGGCGGCGTCGTCAGCCCTGGCGTCGGCGTCGGCGTCGGCGGTGGTGGTGGTGACCTGGCGTCCAGGGCTTGAGAGGCTTGACTTGTGGTTTGGGGGGTGTGTTAGGAGGGTTACTACTGCAGTTTTGCGGCATTGGCCTGTATGGTAAGAGTGTACGGAGATGGATGAGGAAGGGGGTACCGCAGCTGTACGGATGCCGGCGTGTGTAGACAACCAGCAGCTTTTGGGGGGTGGGGAGTGCACGATACGGAGTTGGAGCAACGTACGGGACATTGAAATTAATTGCACCAGGGGCTTCCTGTTAGCATGTTTGGTTACATGGGTAGTCAAATGCAATAAAGGTAGCAGCATCCAGGTGCATGCAGGTTTGTTCTGGCACAAATCTAGTGTGGATAGTCCGGATAAGGCCCATTGTCCCCTTCAGGCAGGTCTGCAACGCTATGCATCTGGGGCACATGTGCCCGAGAGGGAGTTAAGGACCGATGTTGCTGCTAGTTCGCGGATGCACTGTTGGCCAGCTAGGCGTTGCTTTGCGAGGGTTAGGTCTTAGGCGAGTGTGTTAGGCGCTACTGGGAACAATCGTTGCTTTTAGCATTGTTGCCGATAGTTTCCGAGAGGGTTGTTGCTACTGCAGATAGGGCGTACGGATATGCCGGTAGTGTAGGGCACAGCAGTCGTCAGCGCTGGCATGCAACACGCATGCACGCATGTGAGTGCAGCACAGGAGGAGTGGTGGTGCGGCACACCCACACAGGGACACAGGACGTTGCTCTCTCGAGGGTGTGGGCCTGAGGGGCACTGTTGTAAGTTGAAAAGGCGTTGCATCTCTTGCATCTCTGCATGTGAGATGATGACATGACATTGTGCCGTACAACACGGGGTATAGTGCGTAAAATGCACGTGCACGGATGAGAAATGGATGGCCCTGGTGACATTACCGGTGGCACTCTCATGACCGGGTACTTGAAGGAGGATTGAATGTAAGACACCTCAAAAGTTAGAAGCTCTTGGGCAAAAGTTATGGGCTTGCATTATATGAGGAATGCGGCCCGTATTGCTGGGAGTGGGGTTTGAACCCACGCGGTTTGTTACAACCAGAAGATCTTAAGTCTCCCCCCTTAGACCTCTCGGGCATCCCAGCTTGTCCACCATTCGCGTTTCAAATTAACATGTCGTTATTGCGGCAACATGCGCAGCACCGGGCCTGAGTCGTCGCCAGCGCGGCGGGATTGCAGCGGAGGGGGTGGGGGCAGGTAGAGGGGCCTGCACTGCGGGCGCATGGATGAGGCCCCAGGTCATCACACACATCATTGGCTCACATGGCCTCCACTGCATGGCCTTCACTCCACCAGCTGTGCGAAGCCCTGATGGGCCATACACAACCAATGCTCACACCCTAACACATGGGCGTTCGTCGCACCCACGCCATGTTCTCCGCAGGCTACTGCGAGCTGCCACGAGCCCGCATTAAGTAGCACAGCAGCAGCGAATGAGGGCCGTCTGTGATTCGTGTATGTACGGCAGTTGCACTCTGGGTACGGAACGCTAGCTGGCGCCGGCCGTCAACTGCAGTGCTCGATCGCTGCTGAGGTAGCCATGCGGTCATCGGCACTAGTGGGTGTTTAATCGCCGCCTCTTCAGCCCGTCTGCAGCCGAGTATTGGCAACCAATACAGACGTTAGCTTGGGGAGCGCGACGGCGAGAGCACCAGCACCAGCAACGTGTGTCTTGGTGTTTGTTAGCGTTTGTGGGTTCGGGCGCGAAGTTACATACCGGTAGCGGCTTGTAAGCGCCACTTGTGCGCCCCATACCACCTCAAGCGCGCCGACACCATCAGCTCGCCTTGGACGCGCCATACACGGTCACACGGATTCCCTCCCGCGTCCCTTACCGCCCATTATGCACCCCTTTGCACCCCTTCAGGACAGCTGTGGACCCCTTCAGGACAGCTGTGGACCCCTTCAGGACAGCTGAGTACGATACGCACATTGCTCATATAAATGGATTGGTTTCGTCTTGTGACATGCTGGGATGCCCGAGAGGTCTAAGGGGGGAGACTTAAGATCTTCTGGTTGTAACAAACCGCGTGGGTTCAAACCCCACTCCCAGCAACCTTTTGCTCTCGCTCCATGACGGAGCCATAATGGAGTTATTAAGGAACCTATGAACGAGTCTATCTGGGGCACGCTCGTATGATGTTGGAGGGCACAAATCGCGGTAAGTGGAAAGGAAGTGTCCATTAAGCCATGCAATTTGCAGCAAACCATACGGCGCACTAAGGCCAGTCACAGGAGACCCAACGCTTTACGCCGTTTTTGGCAGTCTGCTTAACACCACTGCGGACGCTGCTGAGGCCTTGCACAAGCAACCTGAGCCCACAAATCGCTTATGCATCCCGAGTGAGTAAGTGCCCTTCTGAAAGCCTGCAAGGGTACCCTTTAGAGTAATGGAGGTTACTTGTGCCAACCTGGGTTCTATACGCTTTATGGAAATTATGGCGTATCAGGCTGAACAAAGCCACGATGCGTCTCCCAATATCGCCTTAGTCATTATAAGGCTTGAGGGCACCTTTTACCTCATAGGGCACATGAATCATTTTGGTTTCAATTGCAACCTGCACGCTAATCATCCGCAGTAATAGGAGCTTTCCAGGCGGGAAGTTATTGTCGTGCATTACAGAATTGGAATCGACAGCTTAGCTGCTTAGGTGTTGACGCCCTAATCGCCGCGTATCCTAAGCATATATGGGATACCGAAGTATATGAGCCTATCAAACTGTTACAACACAATAAGTACGAACGCATAGTCAGCAAGCCGGCCAAGCCCTGCGATTTGGCCTATTGCCTTTGACCTCAGTCAATTCGTTGCGCCAGCTATTTGAATTCTATGTATTCTCGCATATTCATTACAAGCCGGTGCGGGGCTTACGGGGCCTGCCGCACATAGCACCGACCTAGCACATACTAGCCTTTTTTGCCTAATTTCATGGCAGTACCAATAAATTTATAGGACGGTGTCAACAAAAAGGTATACCGTATTCTACAAACAGCGGCATGGATTTTGACGACGGTTGGGATGCGGACTGGGAGCCGCTTGTAGCTCAGCCTGCAAAGCACCAGCCAGCCCCAAGTGGTTTTAGTGATAGCAGTCGCGCAGCTCCCAACATACGGCCAACGGTATCCTCCGGCAGACAACCGGTCAAAATGCCTGCAATTGCCTCGGGCATGCGTGGCCGGCGCCACCCTGCTGCAGGCCTTCCTGCGGCCCCGGTCGTCCAGGCTCAAACAGCCAATTTCAGGTCCCTTCTCGCTCAAGCATGTGCGCAACTGCCTTCGCAGCCCAACCCACATCAACAGCCCAAGCAGCAGCCCCCGCAACAACTGCTGCCTTGCCACCGCACCATGCTAAACTACGCCATCGACGTTTTCTTCTCGCACCTCGCCCCGTGGACGCAGCAACCTCATCCTATTTCTCTTTCGCAAGGACAGCAGTCTGACCCAGATCGCCACGTCAAGACAATGCACGGCGGCGGCGAACAGCCCACTGCAGCAGCACCCACATCCGCTGCTGCTCTTTCCTCGGACGCATTGGAGCAGCTGGAGTCCATCTTGTTTGCGTTGCAGAGCTCCCTGGGGGATTCTAACCAGCAACATGTGACGCGGAGAGACAGGGAAGACCTGTGGCGGCTCTGCAGCGCTTGCTGGGTGGGTATGTGTTAGGTCGCTGCTGGGGCGGGTTGGGGCGATTTGGGTCGGGCTCAAGCGCGCAAAATAAGGAAAATAGTATTCTTGGACGCGCACGGGATGTAAAAGGTCGCCGTAGCTGTTAGTTCAAAGCCCGGTTACAGTGTTCCAACTCAAATGCAGCTGGTGAAGGCGGGAACGCTCCCAGGCTATACAGCAAGCATCTCTCAGTGCATGCGAGCATGCCACATGCCTTCCAACTCCCCTGCTTGCTCCTCCTTCCTCCGATGTCCCCTCTCCACCCTTGTAGGAGGCATCCAGTACGGCGGCTCGCGCTGTCGGCTCCACCCCGGGTGCTGCGGAGCAATCCCGAGTGCTGCAGAGCCTGGGCGGGTGAGGGGTGCGCCTCCGGGCTCGCTTGATCCAGGCTGTTCATCCTGCCAGTGTTGCTCTGTAGGTGGAAGAGGGGACACTCCATGCACGTGGGTTCACATTTTAATTGGTCAGATGTAAGATGCCACTTGCAGCAAACCAGGTCGTACAAACTCGTACTCGTATGTGACGAAGACCCATTTGTCGTACCCACCGGCCTGACGTAGGAAGCTGTACGATCTGGCCAATAAGCAGCCCCCGCTAGCTGCGCCGGATGGCAGGGCGGCGGCGGGAGCGAGTGGAGGTGGCGGCTGTGGCGGCGAGGGCGGCTGCTTAGGCGGCCCAGAGCTCTTCGCCAGGGTCAAGTTCTTCCACCGAGTGAGTCCTCCACGGGTCTTGTCGCAAAAAGGGAGGAAGCTCGACGCGCATCCGCCACATCCCTGTCCCTGACACAAGAAGAAGCACCCGTCACAAACCGCTAACTCCCACTCCTCCTCTGCGGCCTCGCCTCCCCGCCCTCCCTCCCCGCCCACCTCCCTGGACAGATGGGTCGCATGTGGCTGGCCATGGGCCACCTGCAGCAGGCTGGCTGGTACCTGGCTCGGGCGCGGGAGGGACTGGGGCAGCTGCAGGCGGAGGAGGAGGAAGCGAACCAGGGGGCCAACCCGCCGCCGCCACCTCAGCAGCAGCAGCGGAGGTCCACGACCCAAATGGGCAAACGGCCAGGCCGACCCACATCGGCTTCAACACTGTTTATGGATGGGGACGAGGGGGCGGGTGAGGCGAAAGACGAGTTTGGCTTGGGGCTGCTGGGGCTGGGCATGCGGAATCGTGCCAAGCAGGCGATGGGTGAGGAGGAGGCGGAGGAGGTAGCAGAGGGCGGCGGTGGCCGCGAGGACGATGAAGGACATGGGGAGGACGTTGCCGGCGGTAGGGATGCTGCTGCTGCTGTTGCTGGTGGCAAGGGCGTGGGGGACGCGGGGCGGACGCACCATGCTGCAAGCGGTCCTTGGTTGGGTCTGGGGGTCAGTGCGGGGAGCTACCTGGCGGTGGAGGCGGGGGTGCTGCTGGAGAGCATGCGGCTGGCGCTGGCGGAGGCACACAAGGTAGGGGCGGGCGTACGGTGGGGGCGTACGGCGTACAGCAGTCCTGGCTTCCTGGGAATCAGAATATCGTGACGCGGCATTGGGCGCATCCTGGTACCGTTATGCGTCTGGAGTAGGGTCGCTTATGGGACCACACAGCACCGTTGTTAGTCGCCTTGCAACCGCCTTCCGGTCCCTCCAGACCTTCTACCACACCAGCCAGCCCACACGCCTCCTCTCGCCCACCCTTCCCTTCCCCGCCCCTCCCTTCTCACCCATCCTCCTCCATCAGGCCCTCAGCGCCAACCTGCTCGCGCAGCTGCTGTGCCTGATACGGGCGCCCCACACCCCGCCCCACCTGGCCGCATCCACATCCCTAGCAGCCGCGGCGGCGCTGCGAGACGCCGCGGCGCCCAAGCTGCCGCCAACGACTCAGTCGCTGCCGCAGCTGAAGCAGCAGCCGAAGCAGCAGCCGGAAGGACCCATGGGTCGCTCACGAGCACCACCACCCGCCTCCCAGCACCAGGCGCAGCAGCCTTCTTCTTCGCAAGCGCCGCAGACGCTAGGGGGCAGAACTGCTGCTACCTCCGGTACGGCTGCTGCTGCTGCTCCTTCTGCAGGCGTGGTGCAGGAGGGGTTGGCGCTGTTGGTAGAGGCGCTAGCGCTGGTGGAGGAGGCAACCGGGGGGTGGCGCCGGCCGCAGCCTGGGGAGCAGGAGGTGGAGCTGGAGCAGCAGCAGTTGCTGCAGCGGCAGGGAGGTGGAGTGGAGGAGGAGGAGGGGGATGAGGAGGGTGGTGGCAGGTTGGCGGGGAGTCGTCATCGGCGGGGGCGGGTTGAGGAGGAGCAGTTGAAGGAGCTCTGGGACATGAGGCAGCAGGTGAGGTCCTGGTTTGAAGTGATAATAGCGGCGCGTGTTACATGACGACGACTGATAGGAAATTAGAAACCACCACCGCAGGCTTAACCATTATGCGAACACTGCAAAGGCCTTGCCTGGGCAGGTTCCTTTCTGCCACTCACGTCATTACGGTATTCCATTACCGGTAACATCCCTTCCGTCTCCTCCATCCTTCCTCTCCCTCACCTGGTCCCCTCCCATCAGCTGCTCAAGCTGCTCATCAGCGGCAGCCTCCACAGCGGCATCTTCGAGTCCGCCCTGTCGTACATCGAAGAGTACGGCAGCGTCCGGGCGCCGCCCTGTACGGCAGACGTCGCCGTACCGCCAGCGCGGCTGCCTCTAGATGTGTTGCTACTGGGGTTGCAGGCGCACATGGGGCTTGGGCGGGCGGCGGAGGCGGCGGCGGTGCTGGTGCGGGACATGGAGCCGCAGCCGGGCTGCTCGCCGGCGGTAGTCAAGGTAGGGTAGGGGTGGGGTGAGGTGGAGTTGGGTGGGGTAAGGTAAGGGGAAAGGAGTGGCAACCCAGTGACGAGGATCTACCATGATGGGTTGGTTGCATCATGTCTTCATGTGTACGGCAAGCGAACGCAGTACATCATGTGTACGGCAAGGGAACACAGTGCGTCTGTCAGGGGAGGGCGCCCGCTCGCTTGCAGGAGCCTTACCTGGCCCCGTGGGACATACCAGTATGGGGCCCGGGGGTTTTAGCATGCATCATCCTCCTTTCTCCAATCCCTTCCATCATACAGCTGACCCTGTACATGTATCTTCCCGCCCCACCCCACCAGGCTGCCCTCTCCAACCTGCTCCCTGCCCCCCTGGAGCAGCTCTCCTCAGCCCTGCCCGCCATCACCGCCTGCCTGCTGGCCTGTCTGGCTCGGTGCAGGCGGGCGGAGGAGGCGGGCAGCAGGGCGGCTGCGGCTGCGGCTGCATGGCCGCCCACTGCGGGCGCTGAGCTGGTGCTGATGGTGGCCACGGCGGTGGCCTCACACGAGGTGCGGGCTGGGTGTCGGGGGGCGGGCTGGTGAGCGCGCGTGGGATGTGGACGAGGGTTTTCCAACTGTCGTACAGGTGGCCGGTTGCCGTACTCTCTTGGCAGGCAGCCTTATGAGGGTTATAATGTAGGCTGGTGATGTTTTACACGCCTTGAAAGGCCTGGGAGTCGCTGGATTCTCCGCACTGTCAGCTGACTAACCTACCGGTATATCCAACGCGGTACATGGCACCGTGGACAAGCCGTGTCGTGCTTAGGCTGTCCGTGCTTATGCTTACCCGGTATCCGACTTGCACGATCACCATTGTGGCTCGGCGTACTCCCTTCCCCTCCAGGGCCCCACCGCCGAGGGCCATCTTCTCAACCTTCTCGCCCACGATGACGTCGTCGCAGCCATCTGCCACGCCACCGACCCACGGGACCGTCTGCACCGCCTGCTCTACGCACGCGCCACAGCCGCCTACCACCAAGCCGACCACGCCTCCTCCGCGCGCCTCTTCGCGGCTGCCCTGCTGTACGCTTCCGGCGGCGGCGGCGCTCCGTACTGCCGTACGGCACGCATGCTTAGCAACTGCTATGCAGCCATGGGTCAGCCCCGTCGTGCGTTGGGCTATCTAGACCTCGCAGCGGCTCATGAGCCGCATACCGTGACGCATCTGCTGCTAAGGCTGCGGCTGCTGCTGTCGTTGCAGGAAGCTGCTGAGCAGGGACATGCAGCAGGGACGCAGGCAGCGGTGTCTCTTGCGCTTGGCGTGGGTGGTGCGGCTGGCAGGGGCATGGAGGGCGATAAGAAGGGGAAAGGGAGAGGGGTGGCGGGGAGGGATGCGGGCAGGTGGCAACGCGGCAGGGCGGGTGAGGAGGCGGTGGCTGAGGGGGATGAGGCGGCTGTTCGGCTGCTGGAGGAGCTGCCTGGGTGCTGCGACTTTGAAACGGCGCATTTGATGGTAAGAGGGTCGGGGTGTTGGGATGGTGGGTTATTAGCTGGGTTAAGGCATGCCCGGTACCACGCTCTGCTTGTGTGTCCTTTGTCCGCGTCTATGGTTCAAACTGTTTGCTCCCATCCCTGTTATCGGCGCTGCATGCAACAGGTTGCGTACGACATTGCCGTACGTGCTGGTCGGTACGGCATCGCTCTGGTGGCGACACAGCTTGCCATGCGGCACCTGGGCACCTGCCATCCGCCCCCTGCTGCTGCTGCTGCTGCTACTGGCCCTGCAGCAGAGACAGCGGCTGCTACCGCTGCTGTCGTCGAGAACCTGTACGCAGCAGTGAAGCTAGCTCAGAACAGCTTGCTCGCTCGGATTGCCACTTCAGGATGCGTCCTCTGGAGCAGTACCAACAGCATTCCCAAGGGTGGCAACCGGCAGCGCCTGCGGCCTGACGGAAAGCAGCGACCAGCGACGACGGGTCATGCTAGCAGCGGCGGTGGTGTTGCATGCGGTGGTAAGGGTACCGGTGAGGGCGGTGTGAGGGCGGGAGGCGATCCGGCCTTACCCCGTGATGTGGCAGTTGCGGGTCTGCGGGACCTCAGGTGGCTGTGCGGGCGGCTGGAGGCGGCGGGAGCGGAGGCGGCGGCACGTCTACCAGAACAGGCGCAGGTGCGTACAGGGTCCGGGGCATGCCTGTGCGTGTGGGCAAACTGGTTGGTCCCAGCCGTCGTGCCGGCCTGAGGATGCATGTGATGGTGCGCATGGCCATAGTTCCGGCCATATCTCCGTGGCCCACGTGTTTGGATGGGCCCCTAGTTTCAATGAACCGCAGCGGTCGTTGTGTCCCTCTTTTAGCTTCATATGCGCCCTTGTCGCACCGCTTGTCGCACCACCGCGCAAACCATATGTTCTTAACGTATTATTCTTTCTAACCGCCAGGCCTCGCTCATGTGGCTCCGAAACTTGGCGCTACGTCTAGCCCATGACGCCCTGCGCGGCTGGTCGCGGCCTAGGGATGTAGTAGACGGCGAGGGGCTTGAGCATGACATCGAACACGACGTCAACCACGACAGCAGCAACGGCGACCTCTGCACCAGCCTAGCAGACGATGGGTGTCAGGAGGACGCCTCCACCCTGGTCGACACCTCGCACCAGGCGATGCGGTCCGAGCCAGGGTTATTCCGGTTCTTGCCTCAGCAGCAGCTGGGTTTCTTGTGGTCCGGTGGGGACTGGCGCCTGGGCGCTGCTGCGCTGAGCTGCGGTCGGCAGCTGGAGGCGGCGGTGGAGGCGGCGGCGCAGAAGCGCGGGCAGAGGCAGGCCGGGAACAAGCTAGGCTTGGGCGTGGAGACGATTGCGTTGCAGGTATGGGACGTGGGCGGTGGATGCTGGTAGCGTCCCGTACAAACGGCGGCCGTCCTCTTTCGTCCACGACGCACATCCATTGCCACGGCTGCCGCACCTCAGCATGCCGCTGACTGACCCTCCTTGCATACCTAACATGTTCCATTCCATTCCAACGTCGCCTCCTCAACAACTGCCCCCGCTGCTGCTGCTGCTCCTCCTTCCTTGCCGTACTTAACAGCCTGTGCAGGTGGGCCTAGCCGCCGCCATGCTACAGTCCTACGCTGCTGCTCCTACCGTTGCCGTTGCTGGTGGGTCTGCTGTCGCTGGCGTCGCTAGTGGTTCTGCTGGTGCTGGTAGCGGCACTGCCGCCGGTAGCGCCCCCCTCCGCGACCTCTCCCTATTGCACTCCGCATGCAAGCTGTTGGACGCATGCCAGCTGCCGCCGCGGGGGGGAGATCCCAAGGCACCGCCGGTACGACACGGAGGTACGGAAGCCACCACCCTGCGTACGGCAGTGCTCCAGCTGCGGTTCATCGCGGCAACCTTCCTCAAGGACGAGCCGCGCCAGAAGACCGCGTTGCAGGTACCGGTAGCTCTAAGAGGCCTCCTTTAGGGACCGAGAGAGATCTGTTTGACACTGGAAACCTGAAGGAGAGTGCCAGGTACCAGCATGCACCCGTTGCCTCTTCTTCTTCTTCTTCTTCTTCCTCTCGCCGTCGTCTCCCAACGCGCCAAGATACAACGTTTACCGGTATGCCCCACTCCATTACTCCCACATTACTGCAGAAGTCAACACTACGTGCTTTCTCACCTGCTATCGCAGGCACTCATCCAGGACCCCGCCGTCTCCGCGCCCCAGCTAGAGGCGCTCGCGGAGTTGTGTCTGGCGCCCGACTGCCCCTGGCGCTGCGCCCCGCTGGCGTGTGGGCTGCTGGGCTTCGCACTCAGGGCGGCGCTGACAGCGGCGGCACCCGCGGGTACGGCGGCAGCAGTGGCGGGTACGGCAGCAGCAGTGGCGGGTACGGCAGCACCGGCGGCAGTGAGAGGAGGAGGCGCCGGAATTGGACTTGCAGCCAGGGTGGGTAGTTACCGGGCTGACACGGTATTTCCCATTACGATAGTCACTTGCAGTGTTCTCGCGTTCCCCCTCGCTTCGTCGCTTCCAATCCGTTCCGTTCGCTTCACTGCGCTGCCTGATACCGGTACCCTCCCGCACCCGCATGCTGCAGGTGATCCGGCGGCTGTTCCTGTTGGGCAGTGCCGACGTGCGACTGCGTGTTTGCGAACGGGCAGCCGGCGTCGCATCGCAGCTACGGCAGCAGCAACAACAAGGACAACAGCAGAGCCTCCAACATCACTGCAACCGCAACCGCAGCGACCAGACCGCTCAAGGACAGCCATCACCTGCCCTAGCCGAGGCTGCTGCTACGGCAACTGCAACCAGCGCTCCCCCGTCTTATCCCTCCTCAGAGCTACACTATCTGTGGGCATCCTGCTTCAACTCTGCCATCGCAGCCGGGATCCGGAACGGCAGCGGAGGCGGAGGTGGGAGTAACGGGGGCGAGGTGGCGAGGCCGGCTGCGGCAGCGGCGGCTGCAGCCGCTCAGGCAGCAAGGGCGCAGCGCCTTCTGGACATGGCGTGCAAGTTGGCAGCGGCTTCTTCCCGGGTCTGCGCTGGCGTGGGGCTGAATCATGATGAAGTCCATGGGGACGAGACTACCGGAGGTACCCTGCACCTCGCACAGCTATTAACGAAGGTAGGGTGCTACTGGGTGTAGAGCTGGGTGCGAGTGCGGGGATCTTCTGAGCAAGCGCGAGCGCTCTGAACAGACGTTGTGTTCCTCATGGTTGTATTGTGGCGGCACTACCGAGTATAAGCAGTCGTCTAACTGCCCTCCATGGTATATGCTGACATAGGCATTGTAGCGGTCATTCATATGCCCTTATTGCCGTATTTACCGCAGGCCTACCAGGACGTCGTGCGGGCTGCTGGACGCACTGCGCCCACCCAACCCAAGCTTCTTGCCGCGTCACCGAGGCCGTCACCCCCACCCCCACCTCCTGCATCCAGACAACAACAACCACCGGCAGCAACTGCGGCTGCGGCTGTGGCCGCTGCTTCCTCAGCCCCATTGCCAACGCCAGGAGCTGCTTCCGGAGGGGCAGCAGCGAACGCTCTGCCGCCTCCGCCCTCTCCACGCGCGTCTCCGCCGCCGCCGTCGCTGCCTCCGCTGCTTCCGCCTCCACTCCCACCGCCTGCCTCAAAAGAGGCACCCGCTGTCGGCGCCGCAGCGCCCGTACCGCCCAAGCAGCTCCGGCCGCCTCGGCCTCCCAAGCCTCAGCTCCCAGAGCCGCTTCCGAAGCCGCAACCAAGCCCCCACCGCCAACCGTCGCAACAGCCGCCCCCATCGCAACTACCGCCGCCGTCAAAACAGCAGCAGCAACCAACAGTACCGCAGCAGCAGCAACCTACAATAACGCAGCAGCAGCCGCAGCAGCCTCGACGACCCCAGATCTTCAAGCGCTCGCTGGCGGCCCCGAATCCCGCCGTATCATCAGCATGCAACGCCAGCGGCCCATGCAATACCGGCAGCAGCACGGGGGCAGCAGCTGATACCGCGGATGCTGCTGATACCTCCGGAGACAGCAGCAGCAACCTCGATCGAATGGTGCTGCACACAAAGGAAACCGAGCTAGGGCCTGAACCCGCCCATCCGGACCGCCAACACACGGCACAAGCCAGCAGCAGCAGCGGGCAGCCCTGCAGCTCTGCGGGCACACAGCAGCAGCACCCCAAGGCTGCCGCCTCGCCGGCCCCGCGGCCATGCATTCAGCCGCCGCCCTTGGCGATAGGGGAATCGCAGCAGCTTCCGAAGCTTGGGGAAGACCATAGCTCCGCTGGGCTGCAGCATCAGGGCCCCGTTGTGGAGGAGAGCGCGAAAGAGGGGCCGCACAAGGAGGGCGTGGAAGCCGCCGGCGACGGAGACATTGGCAACGGAAGCGCCAAGGACGGCAGCGGTGGGTCGGAGGCTGTTGCCGCAGCGGCTGCCGACAGTAGTTTGCATGGGGAGGATGCGGAGATGGAGGAGTGCTACGGAGGGCAGCGAGACCCCGTGTTGGATGGCAGTGTTGAGAGTGTGGAGGCGGCGCAGAGGGTGGAAGGTGATGATGAGATGATGGAAGGGACGGCCAAGGAGGAGCAGGGAGAGGAGGAGGTGGGGCAAGGGGAAGAGGATGGCGAGGGGGATGCTGAGGTGCGGGGCTGTGGTGAAGAGGATGGTGATGTCCCTCAGGAGCAGGAGGAGAGCACCGCCATGCAAGAGGATGAGGATAAGTCGGGGCGCCCGGCGGAGGCGGATGTACCGGTAGCGGCAACGCAGGCGGAACGACCAGCAGCGGAGGACTTCCCCGAGGCAGGAACGGAGACGGGGAAGTTAACAGTGGAGGCGGAGGCAGGGGCTGCGACAGCACCCCAGCAGCGCGCAGCGGCTGCATCGGAGCCAACCGCGGTGTACGCGCATGAGGGCGCTGCTGTGGCCGCGAATGTGGCCATCCTGGCGGCGGGTGACGCTGCCTTCGCAGCGGGCGGTGGGCAACGTGAGGACTGCACCCGCAGCAGCAGCCCATCGCCTTCTTGCTACGCAGACTCGCAGCCCCTGGCGGAGCAGCCCAGCGACCCGTCAGGCCACGGTAGTCGGCCGGAGGAAGAGGAGGTGGTGGAGGAGAAGGAGGTGAAAGAGGAGGGCGGTGCGGAGGACCAGGCGGCGGTGTCGTCACCCCAGGAAGCGGACGGCTGTGCCCATGCTGCAGAGGCACCAAGCAGCAAGCCGCCTTCATTGCAGGGGGGCGGCCAGGTGCGGACAGGCCCAACCGCACTGGAGGCGGTGGACGGGCCGCCGCCGCAGGCGACGCTTTCACATGCAGCGCAAGACTCCGGCGGCAGTGGTGACATGGGGCCTGGGGCCGGTATGCTAGGAGCCAGTAGAGAAGAGGTTGCTGTGAAGACGCCGACGTGTTGCAGGGAGGCGGAACAGCAGTCACCGAAGGGCGCTAAACGCCGCCGTCTGTCAGGCCCCGAGGACGAGGCAACCAAGTCAACGACACCTCCGGATGGTGCACATGGTGTATGCGGGGCTACCGGCGGACGAGAGCCCCGGTCGGCAGGGCAGGAGTCCATGGGGCCATGCACCGCCATGCGGGTGGTTGCGCCGAGCGCTGGGGATGGCCCTGCTGCGGCTGCCGCAGCTGCTGAGGGAGCCCCGGCTGCGGTAGCCTCTCCTCCTCCCGCCTGCGATGGCTCCGCCGCCACACCGCCGCATGGCAGCAGCCAACCGTTCGACTCCTCATTGCCGCCAGCACCGTCAAGCCAGCACACACAACCGCCTGAGCCGGAGCTTGCACTGCAGCTGCCGCAACAGCCATTGCCAGCTAGAGGAGAGGAGCAGCTGGATTACGAAGAAGCCGGCGGCAGCTCAGCCGCCATGGCATGCGGAAGGGAAGGCGCCCTGGGGGATAAGGATGGAGGCGTCGGTACGGCGCTGGAGGGGTTGGATTCTTCCGTACTTCTTCAGTCCAATCCACTCCACTTGAGCGTTTCGGCCGCATCCCAGCAGAAGCCCACGGAAGAGAAACAGCAGGCTAAGCAGCAGCAGCTGCAGCTGCAGCAGGAAGCACGACATGAGGCGGGTGGGCGGCAGCAGCAGCCATTGCCTCTGCCGCCTCAGCAGCGGCAGGAGAGGAAGCGCAGGTTGGGAGCGGCGCTGGTTGGAGGTGTGCATGTTGATGATTCGTCGCAGGATGTGGTGTTAGATGACGACGATATGAACCCTGCTGCTGACGAAATCCTGACCAGGGCAGGGACCATGACCGTGGCTGCTGTTGGTACTGCTGTGACCACTACTGCTGCGACATCGAAGGCGCCAGTGGAAACGCTGCACGGGGCGACATCAGGGGTTGCACCAGAGGTAGCGCTAAAGGCGGTGACGATCGCGGCGTTGCCTCCGAGCGCAGCAGCGGCGGCGGCAGCAGCAGCGCCGGAAGCATCAGCGGCACTATCCACAACTCCAGAAGCAGCTGCTGTGGATCCGTCATTGATGATCGGCGGTAGCAGCCCCACGGACGTAATCGCGAAGGCCTCAAGTGACGATGGCGATGAGCGGTGTGTTGTGGGCGGCAGCGATGATCGGCCTGGCAAACGCGCGCGATCCACTCCGGGCCCACCCTCTTCTGCGTCCGCTGCCGAGCCCTCAGCCAAGGCTACCGCATCGGAAGCAATAGCGGGTGAGGTGGCGGTGACGGCGACGGTGATCGTCATGGGACAGGCAGCGGCTCAAAAGGCGCCGGAGGAGACAGAAACGGAAAGGGCGGCGGGAACGGCAACCGAGGCGATGAAGACTGCTGCGGCCGCCGGGGGCATTGCGATGGCCAGCGAGGGCTTGCCTTTCAACATCGGCACTAGCAGCGAGTACGCCGCTGTCATCCTGCCCGGCAGTGAGTTCGCGGACGGAGTGGATGCGCTCATGTTGGAGGAGTGGTAGGCTGGTGGCGGTACGGCAGTGGTGGTAAGGCAGTACGGCATTAATAATGGTATAGCTGTTGGGCTGCTAGCTATGTGTAACAGGTCGTAGTGCTTACTGCACTGGAAGGCATATGAAAGAGCGGGTTCGTAATTCGTGAGCGTTTTGGGGGATTGCAGAGTGTGAAAGGTACATAGTATTGCTGAGCGGTTAACGCTTGGCGTATATATGTATAGTACGGGTGCTATATATCGTACCCGAAAGGAAGCATGCATGGTTAGTGTCAGCAGCTGCGTTTTGTCAATAGCTATCACCTGTACAATGAGCAGCGTGCGTGTGCACGTATTTGTACTTGCGGGCACAGTCGTGTTAGAAGCGGATGGCAGAGGATGCTGAGCGTTGTCAGTGTGAACACCGACCCATGGGTCAGTAGGTTGATGTCAACAGAAGTGGAGTATGCAGGGTGTTTCGGATAGCGTCAATTACCTCTGGTGCAGATACAGAGAGATTTACTATGTTTCGAAGCTTTCGAAGTCAACTGTGCGGTCAACTTTGCCGCCTCTGTCCTTATGCTTGCTAGTTCGAAGTGTTAGCGAGAGTTCGTGACAGTGTGAAGATAGGTATTTATTTGCGAATATATGCTGGTGTGGCGTTATCGTCGACCCTGCCTCGTGCCTCGTGCCGTGCAGTGCTTCGGAACCCGTCACGAACGATCCGCAGTGCGGCAGAGGTTGCCAGGCATGAAATTAGCAAGCCTTTCTATGGAAGGTATTTGAATAATAACCAATTGGGGTGCATCGTGAATGCCAGGTCGTTTGATGCCCTTTAGGCAAAATCCGTCAAACTACTGCTGTCGTGGTATGCACACCGAAGCCGCTCTTTCTACTTGGTCATTCATGTTCCTTTTATGATTTACAATAAACCCATTTCCTATGGATTATGTGGAATTACAGGAATTACTCTGCTGTCCAAGGTAACTGTCGTGTACGATGTATAAAGTGGTAGGGTCGACGCCTTCCCACTCCGCGTCCTCATCCCCGATGCAAGCTGCCCTGCTATCATAGTTTATCCACATAAGCGACATCTACAGCCCAACCTAACAAAACTCAATAACAAATAACACACACTGCCAGGGCGTCTTATCAAACGGTTCACCTTCGACGACTCTGCGGCCCAAAATGGCCACCAACAGCAGCAGCACCCCCATCCATCTCCTCACCAGCAGCAGCCTCCTTGGCAGCTACATCGACACTAACTCCGTACATCCCTCTCTGCTAGCCACCATCTCCACTCTTGCAGCCGGCCTCTACCTGCTCTTCATCCTCTGCCGCTACCTCCTTGGCGGCTCCCGTAAGGGTGGCAAGCTGCCTCCCGGCCCGCTGATGCACTTCCCCATCATAGGCGACGGCATCTACCTGGCCTCGGGCAACCCGCTCAAGTTCTTTTATGACCGGTGCGCGTTTGCTGCATGCAACGATGTGCGTGCCAATGTGGCATGCGGCACGACGCTTGCAGGGGACGACGCTCCTCATGTCCTAACAAACCCTATGCAGTCCAGGCCGTCGTCCGCCTTTCCCCTCTCCCCTCCTCATAACGCGCGGTGTCGTACACATACCTGCCCCTGCGGGGCTACACGCTTACCGTACACACATACGGGCATGCCGTACATACACATACACACACTCGCATCCAGCATCCCCTCCCTCGCTCCCGCTCCCCCCGCACACAGCTACCGCCGCTACGGTCCCGTGTTCCGCACCCGAGTGCTGGGCAGCCGTATGTGGGTGGTGGCGGACCTGGCGGCGCTGCGGGGGCCGCTGCGGGACGAGGGAGCGGTGCCCGAGGTGCCTTTCGGCAGCTTCAAGGCGCTCATGTGGGGGCCTTATGTGGGGGGGGAGGGAGGGAGGGGTGTTTGGGGGTAAGGGGTTGGAGGGGTTGGTGGGAAGCAGGGAGGGGCGAGAACACAATAATCCTCGAAGCGCCCAATGGTAAGGCCCGGTAGGTGGCGGGGAATCGATGCCGCCGCGATGTGCTCATGTGATGAGGCGAAGAGCAGAACACACAGGGGTAGAGGGAGAGGGTGTGGAAGTAAAGCAGGTGGGTGGCGGGAAGCAGACAGCCTGTTGGGAGGGGCTGGAAAGACTCCCCAGCAACTAACTTGTTTGTTGTTGCTGTGTGCCTGGCTGGCTGCAGGGGCAACGAGACCTTTCTCTCCAAGCCGGGTGTGCATGGGCCCTGGGTGAGTCAGCTAGCACGTACGGCAACTAGCACGTACGGCATCTGGGGAACGTACGACGATAGTGATACCGACATACCGTACGGCACGCTGTGAGCCTACACTTACCCCTCTCTCAACCCTCCTCTTCTTTTTCTCTCCCTCCTTATCGGTTTTTGTATCTCCATCCCTTCTTCCCTGACCCGCCCCTGTCTCCTCCCCCTTCCACGCCTCTTCCCTCTCCCCGCCCCCTCCCCCCAAACCCAGCGCAAGGTGTTCGCTGCCGCGCTCGCTCCCCCCCAGCTGGCCGCAATGGTACCCCGAGTGCTTCACGTCATGCATCGACACCTGGAGGGCTGGGAGCAGGCGGGGAGCATACCCATATACCGGGCGGTGAGGGGGACGGATTGGGTGTGCGGCTCGCATACCGTATTGCCCAAAATATATTTGACATGCGTTTGGAGGCCTATTTTCCAGCCCCATTTGACAAAGCGGGAATAATTTATGCCCCATTTGACTTCCTGATGGCGAATTTCTAGCCCCATTTGGCATGCATCAAAACGCCCCCAAAGCCGCCGTACGTGTTGGATGTAGCATGGTAAGGAAAGGAGCTGTTCAGCTGTATGCCGCTGTGCAGCCCTAGGAGGATAAGTGGAACACCACTTAGAAACCCTGACCGGGCATGGCGCGGTGAGGATCCAGCGCACTGGCAAGTCAATTGCCCCCTACCTCTCCGTTTCCATCTTAGTTACCCTGCAGTCACCCCAGGCGGAATATTTTGCCCCCATTTGACACCTTGCCAGCGAATTTCCAGCCCCATTTGACATGGCAAAAAAACATTTTTGCCCCATTTGACACACCCCAAAACATTTTATTTTTGTCAATTATAATTTGGGCAATACGGTATGCATGCTGAAGAGGCATGTAATGGGAAGAGGGGTAGGCCATAAATATTGCCACTACTATTACCGGTACCATTCATCCCTTTCTCGTATCCCTTTAAGCTCCGGCCGTCCCACCCAGCATTCCCTCTCCCCTATCTGCCGCCCTGCTCCGCCCCCATTCCCCCTCCCTCCTTCACAAGGCCCGGCTGATGGGCTTGGATCTGGCGGTTGACGTCATCACAGAGGTGCAACTGCCGCCTGACGTGGACCGAGACTGGTTCAAGGGCCAGGTGTGGGGTGACCCACGGGTCACTACTGCCTGCGTCGGTCCATGCATGCATGCTTGCATGCATTATGTTTGGTACTGGAGCACGCATACCGGTAATAAAGCCTCCCATTCCCATTCACAGCCCTCCGACCTTAAACCTTCCTCCTCAAACCCACCTCCTCCCTCCAACCCCTTCTCCAACCACCCCCTCCTCCCCTTCCCCAGGTGGAGCAGTTCCTAGACGGGCTGTACGGCCTGCCCCTCCCTCTCCCCGGCACCGCCCTAGCCCGCGCCCTGGCCGCTAAGAAGCGGCTGCTGGCGGTGCTGCAGCCGCCGCTTCGGGAGCTGCATGAGCGGTTCAGCAAGCAGTGGAGGGCGGCTGGGGGCTCGCCGCAGACCTTCGCAACGCTCTTATTGGAGCAGCAACAGCAACCTCAGCAGCAGGGGGGCGGGGCGGATGGCGACTCATCGTCTTCTTCTCCTGACGCCGCCTCCGCTTCCTCCCCTGCTGCCCCGCTGAGCCCATCCATCATGGTGGCTCAGCTGCTGGGTCGGGCGGCCATCGAGTGAGTGGTGTGTGTGGGGGGGGGGTTTGCTAAGGGGGCTGACATATCGATGCCTGCTGCCTGGAAGCAAACAAGCGGTTATCACGGTATCTGCTAGCCCATTCGCAAACGTCCATCCGCCCATCACCCGGTGTTCACCCCCTCCTCCCCTGCGCCATGCCAGTCGCTGCGAGCTGCACGATGCTGCTCTCTCCGTGCTGCACCTGCTGGTGGCGGCCGCCGACACCACCCGCTTCGCGCTCTTCAATACCTGGGCGCTGCTGGCGGCCAGTCCGAGGGTGCAGGAGGCACTTCACCGGGAGCAGATGCAGGTGAGGGAGTCGAGATGGGAGATGCAGGGAGAGCGTCGTGGGAGTGAGTGGGTGAAGGAAATGGAGGAAAGTAGCGGCGAGGAAGGATGAAGGATGTGCCCCATCTCACCCACGCAACCCTCGCAACCCCCCCCTCCCCCGCACCCATGCATGCACATCCATGCATCCTGGACAATTTGACATGCCCGCACCCGCACGCAGGTCATCTCCCAGTACGGCACCGAGCTGTCGTACCCCGCCGCATCCAACATGCCGTACATGGACGCCACGCTGAAGGAGGCCATGCGGCTGCTGCCCGCCAGCTCGGGCGGCATGCGGCGACTGACGGAGGAGCTGCGGGTGGGGCCGTACTGCATACCCGCGGGGGAGATCGTGTGGTACCATGCGGGCCTCATGCACTACCTGGATCCTGCCCTGGCGGATACACCCTCCTCCTCCGGTTCCTCCTCCTCCGGTTCCGCTTCCGGGCCCTCCGTACCGCCTCACATGGACTGGCGGGGCAATCTGGAGGCCGCCTTCCGACCCGAGCGCTGGCTGCAGCAGCAGCAGGGGGGCGGAGGAGGAGACGTCCCGGAGGGCAGCTTGGCTGGGGGTGCGGATGCGGCGGGTGCTGGGGAGCAGCTCAGTCGGCCGCGCTACCACTTCACATTCGGCAGCGGCATGCATCTGTGTGTGGGCATGAACCTGGTGTACATGGTAGGGAGGCGGGGGGGAGAAGGGGGGGAGGTGAGATTAGGCTTGGGGTTGTGGGGTGGGTGTTGAGGAGGCGTGTCTGGAGTCGACGAGAAGGGCTGACGGGCGGACTTTGACGGCTGCTCCATGGTTTGCTGCGAAGAGTGCCCGGTAGCCCTTCCGCTGCATCTTCACCGTAGTCCTTACCCTCCTCGTCTCTCTGCCCGCCTCCTCAGCCGCCTCTCCCGCCGACCTCCCTTCCCTTCCCTCCACCTCCCCCCTCCTCCTCTTCAAAGGAGGTGAAGCTGCTGCTGGCGTTGGTGATGCGGCGGTACCGTCTGGCACTGCGCACCCCGGACATGCTGCTCACCTGCAGCCGCGCCTTCCCCTTCTTCGTGCCGCGGGAGGGAACTGACACGGTGCTGCTGCTGCCGCGGGAGGGGAGCGGGGAGGAGTGATAGATATCACCAGACAGGGGAGAAAAGGGGTAAGGAGCGGCAGCAGGGCAAGGGCGCAGTTGTGGCGTGAGGGGAGAGAGGGAGGAGGAGGAAGGGTGGCTGGGATGTGGAGGTGATGGGAGGGAGGGAGCGGCGCGGAGGCATGAGGCTTGGGCTGTGCAGGGAGGCACGCGGGAAGTGAGGGGGCAATGAGCAAGCAAGTGCTTTGAGGGTATGCAGTTGTTGTTGTTAAGATGGGGCCCCTTACTTGTGGGTGCAAGAAGCGTTGGGACTTGGAAAGATAGATAGGGCATCGGTGCATTGATTGTCTTTCCGGTTGACGTTCGGACATGCCGGGTGTTTTTTGGGCTGTGTAGGGTATTGTGGAAGCAGGATCTTCCATCGTAAAGGAAGTTCTCGTGGTGCCGGGCAGTTTATGGACTTGCGCGTGAATCTGCGCTGGCGCCTGGACGACATAGAGTCGTGCAAGGATGGATGGGAGGGTCTTTTGCCAAGCTCGTCAGTGTGGCGCCCGACGCAGTACCGAACAAGATACGTTGTCCACTTGTTAGTGGGGCCAGAATGACGCTGTAACAGCCCTGAACGGCTCCTGGAAAGGGATAGGGCGAAGACAATTGACCAATGGGCCGACCTCATCAGCTATCTGGGAAGAAGGCTCTTAAATTGAATGTAGCTGCATGTAAGATAGGTGTAAGCAAGAGTTTGACGCCTAAAGAAAATAAGCATTTCACCGGAACGAGCTTGCAAGCCGAGTTGCTTTCTAACTGTCAACGGTATTAGTGAGAGAGCGATTCGCTTTGTTGCACTGAGCCAATCGGTGTGATTCCTCAAAGTGTTTTACCTTTTGCGGACTTGAGAACACTAAGCCACTAAGCCAATTGCTTAACCGTGGTTAGGACATTTGCTTACGTGAACCTGGCCGCTCGTTATGAGGATGCAGTTCTTGTCTTAGCTTGAGTGTCGTATACGCGTCTCCACATCATGACTTGGCGCCATGCCGCTAAGTGGCTGGCGGGTAGAGGATGGCGGTCGATGGCCACTGCCGCGGCGGGTTCCGCTCGACAACAGCAGCATAGCTCGCAGCAAAAGAAGCTGGGATTGAAGGAGGTTCAACACATCATCGCGATTACTTCAGCCAAGGGCGGCGTGGGCAAGTCGACCACCGCGGGTGAGGGGGCACTCCTTCCCTGGGCATTCCTTTTGTATGCAGTCAGGGAACTGCAGGCCACTGCACCTGCCCTCACACAACAAACCCTGCACAGGAACACAGCCAACCTTTTCTGCTCACTCTCCTGGCCTGTTTCGCTATTCCTCGCTTGGCATGCCCACCAATGTCAAATCTCATCCTCCGAAACCAACCCTACCAAATGCCAAATTTCGAAACCCGCGACCCAATCCCCGACCCGCAGTCAACGTTGCCGTGGCCATGGCCACTCGTTTGGGACTGCGAGTGGGTTTGCTAGACGCCGACATCCACGGCCCCTCCATTCCCACCCTCATGAACCTGCGGGGCAAACCCGAGGTGGACAAGCACGGTACGTGCGGAGGGGGCCGACCCGTCTCGTACAAGCAACAACACACCTGCTGGGACACAACGCAACGGCACTCATGAGCCACGCGGGCACGGACCTGTCTTCATGTCTTCTCAAATCCAGCCTCCGGGTTGCTCCTCCTCCTCATCTGCTGCTGCTGTTCCTCTCGCCTCACGCATCCGTCGCACACGCACCCGCACCCACATACACACCCGGCTACACCCGCACCTCCCCCTCCCCCTCCCCGCAGGTCCCCAGGCGCTGCTACTGCCCAAGGAGAACTACCGCGTAAAAACCATGTCCTTCGGCTTCTTCTTGGAGGTGGGTAAGGGGAGGAGGGGCCGGGGTATTCCTCACAGGGCTGGAGGTTTAGGGTTGGTGGGGATGTGTTCGAGTCTACCGATTGGGTGCGTGGAGGGGTGAGCGGCGATAACGTAGAGGCGCGTTGCATTTCTGCCAGCTGGTATGCCGCCCGCTGCCTCTGCACCCCACTTGCATCCTGCACACACCCAGCCGACCATACCCACCCATCTGACCTGCCATGCCTGCCATGCCCTCCTCCTGCACCCCTCCCTCCCTCACCCCCCTCACTCACTTTGGAATTTCTTTTTTCCCTCCCTCACCCCCCTCCTCCGCACAGGGCGACGAGCCGGTGGTGTGGCGGGGCCCCATGGTGAACAACGCGTTCGACAAGATGCTGTACGGCACCGCCTGGGGGGCGCTGGATGTGCTGGTGGTGGACATGCCGCCGGGTGGGGGTTTGGGGGGTGAGGGGTGTGTATGGGGGGAAGGGAAGGAAGGGGAAGGAGAAATGGCATGGGATGCGGAAGCGGGGGCCAGAGAAGAGGGCGGCTCACAAGGGACAGAGGTTGGGAGAGGAAGAAGGACTTTGGCTGGTCCTGGGTGGAAGAGGGGCGTTAGGGGCTGCTGAGCAGGTTACTCCTCATTATTACCTCTCGTATACCTCGCCTGGGCCGCCTCCCACCAGCCTCCCATCCGACACCATCCCCGCCCTCATGCCACAGGCACGGGTGACGCTCAGATCAATCTGGGTCAGCGCATTCCGCTATCCGGGGCGGCCCTGGTGTCCACCCCTCAGGACGTGGCCCTCATAGACGTGCGCAGGTGGGGGGCGGGGAGATTAACAGGGCTTGTCAGGCTGGGGGTCGGACTGTGAGCTGGGTGGTTTCGAAGAGGCAAGAACGGTGTGGCACGCGGTTGCTTGCGCTCAAGGAGGGGCATGCGGGCCTCCCATCCATGCTGTGTTTCGCTTTCCGCCCCCAACCTCCGCCGCCGCCGCCGCCCATGCACCTACATCCGCCCCCCCCACCTCCTCCTCTGCCCCAACCTCCTCCGGCCCCCCACCCAGAGGTGCGCAGATGTTCCTCAAGCTGCGCGTGCCGCTGCTGGGGCTGATTGAGAACATGAGCTACCACGCATGCGCCAAGTGCGGGCACGTGGAGCACATATTCGGGGCGGGCGGGGTGGCGCGGGCGGCAGCGGACTATGGCGTGGAGGTGCTGGGGCAGGTGGGGATGAGTCGGGTGGGGGGGGTGGGACTGGGTTTGATGGGATTGAGATAGGTGGGACGGAATCTGAGAACCCTGGGAGGGGTGTGTATAAAGAGAACCCTGGCCGTGTGCCTTTTGTAGGGGTTAATGGTAGCTTGTTGAGCTAGGAGGCAGCTAGGAGGCAGCTAGGAAAAGTGCATCAGTGCGCGTTTTCGCCCGGCATGCTGTTGAAGCAACCCGCATGCCTGACCTGTGCCTTGGGTTTAGCAGAAGTGCGTGCTTCGCATGCTTGCAAGACCTGCCGTTTACGTCATCCCTGTGCCGACATCTCCCACCTTGGCTGACCGGCTGTGTACGGGCTGCGACAGGTTCCGCTGCATGTGGACATCCAGACCAAGTCCGACGCGGGGACGCCGGTGGTGGCCAGCGACCCACGGGGCGATCTGGCGGGCGTGTATGTGGACATCGCACGGCGCATACACACACAGCTGCAGGAGCGGGGGGCAGCGGGGGCGGCTGGCGGACCCAGCATTACCGTGGAGTAGGTTGCGGGAGGGGGGAAGAAGATTCCCAATGCAGGAATGGATGGAGGTCAGGGAGGGGAAGCAGGAGTAGAGAGGCGTTGAGGAGGAGGGAGGAAAATAATAAATAAATGCAACAACGCAATCCCAATCCCGAATCCCGACTCATGCAGTGAGCGCATTCGGAGGAGGGAGGGGTTGTGCTGACTGTGGAATCATGGTGGTAGTTGGGGTATGGTTGACGAGCAGCTGCTTGTAGGCCAGCGAAGGGCGGCAAATGGTTTTGACTAGGCTCCAGATTCGGCAGGGCAGTTGCGGGTAGGGGGCGCGGAGCACCCTTAGGTGATGAAACGGTAACGGTTTTAGGCAATGCGTGTTTAGCTTTTCACCCAAGGCGTCCCAGATGGCGTCTATGTCAGCAGCTGGTGGCAGCTTTTGTCGCTGGTGACGCTATTGTCGTTCTTGAGGAAAACCTGGGCTCTTGGGTGGTTGTACAGTGCTACTGGAGAATGCTGCTGTAGGGGGAGTGCTGCTGTTCAGGAGTAACATCGCTGGGCCTTTTGGGGAGTTCGGAACAGTGCATGGTGGTTGGGGGAGGCTACACCGGGCTAACTCGTAAGCCCCAACAGCCTCAGGGTCAAGTTGCCAAACGAAGCCGCATGCAGCGTTTTACTCGTTTGCTCCTTCTCCTGCGCACAGCGGACTCGAAGAGGGGCGCGGCTGCCATGCCTCGTTTCCTCCATCAATCAACCTGCCTTCCTTCCGTTCCGAATCCCGTACATTCCATGTACCGGTAGTCAAAGGTTGAAGTCTCCGCACACATGCAACAAAACATAAGCCGGGCCATACCGGTACATCCCCCCTCCGTTTAGACGCGGCCGCAACTGTGCACAGCGCTTCAATTTTGCACCGTCGGGTTGGCCTAGCAGGAGCTCGCCCCACAAAGGTGCTCCACAAATCATGCACGCGTGGCCTTCGCACCTGCCGTCATGTGAACACCACCACACTGCTGCGGGTGCTGGCGGCATGCTACCCATGTATGCACGCTCTCAGCACCCCCACCCCTTGTGGGCCCCAGACGCCGCACATCAAGGTCGCAAGCTGCCTTGACCTGCCCTACCGGCACCTCAGCAATGCTGCAACACTGAAGGTCTCCGGCAAAAGAGAGTGACACCATCCCGCCTCCGCCCGCACCCTCACTTCTTGTTCAGCAGCGACTTGGCCTGCGCCTGCTGCTGCAGCAGCGCCTCACTGGCGTACTTGGACAGCAGGTCGTTGCGCTTCATCTCCAGGATCTTGGCCTCGATGGCCTGCTGGTCGGGCAGCGGCACGTACGCCACGAAGCGGGCACCCTCCTCACCTCCACCGCCCTCGCCGCCAGCGCTGCGGGCGGCTACGGAGGAGAGTGCCTGCTGCCGCTCCTGCTCCTTCTCCTCCCAGTCCAACACGGCCTGAGGGGCAGGCCAGGGGGGAGGGGATTGGATGGGGGGGTTATGAAATGGGGAGGACGGGCAGAAGAGCTTGCTTGCGGGGCTCGCGAGATGCTGCGGGGATCACATCCCGGTCATGTCATGACAGCATGGAGTCATGCTCCCCGATGCTGTGCTGTGCTGGGGGGTCAGTCTAGCCGAAGGCCCGCAACAGCCCTCATCTCTCCACCCCATGAACCCCAGCAACCTCCTCCTCCCCCCACTCCCCTCCTCCTCCCCCTCACCTGCATGCGCATGATCTTCTCCGCGTCCTCCTCCACCCGCTCCAGCACGCCGTCCTCCTCGTCCCGGAAGCCGTAGTAGTCGGGGTCGATGGCGCGGTGCATCTGGAAGCGCGAGCGCCGCGCCACCTTGACCGGCTCCGCCTCGAACAGCTCCTTCACGCCCGGCAGCTTCTTGGCGGCGCCAAAGTAGGTGTAGCCGCGGCCCTTGCCTGCAGGAACAGCGGGCAGGAACAGGGAGCGGGAGGAACAGCGGGCGGTAAGGGGAGGCAGGGGACTCTGTGACCTTCCTTCCCTACTACCATTGCCTTTCCTGCCAGTACCTCCATTCCCCAAACCCGCACCGCCCTTCGTGACCTCGCTTCCACCCACTCCGCCCGGCCCCCGCTCGTCCGACCCACCTGTCAGCTCCGCCACCTCTCTCCCCTTGCTGTCCGTCACCTTGCCCGCCGCCTTGGAGTAGTCCGGGCCACCCAGCTCCTTGATGCGCCGCTCCCAGTGCCCCTTCTCGCGGATCAGCTTGTTGATCTCGTCGTTCAGGTCGCGGATGCTGTACGACAAAGGGGGGGAGGGAGGGGGGTGGAGGGCAGGGGGTAAGGAAGGGGGAAAGGGGTGAAGGGAAGGAAGGGGAGGGGCGCATGCTGTGTGTGTGTGTAGGGTTAGGGGTTAGGGAGGAGGAGGAGCATGAGAGATCTGGGTGTAGATCTGGGAGGAGGAGGGGACGGACGGGGAGGGGGATGACGGGGCCGGCGGCGGCGGCGTATCAGGGGCCCAGCATGGCTGCCGCGGGCGGGGGCGCAAGGGGGATGACAAGGGGGTTGCAGCATGGGTATGGGCAGAGGAGGCACTGGGGAATCCCGTACACGGCACGGCGGTCCAACGTGCTGCTGGTGGTACCTGGGCAGGCGTGCGGTGCTGTGGTGTGGTGCGGTGGGTGGGTGGGGCTTTCCCAGACGCGTGCGCCTAGGGTGCTCTCCATATGAAGTGAGGGAACCGCAGCGCAGGTTAGGCTGCATGGCTGCTATTTACCGCAAGGGAAATAACGGCTCCTCACTCTGAACCCCGTGGACGTTATGGACTCGCCTAGGAGTTCTCAATCGACCCGCTCACGGTGTGAAGGCATGTATAGGCTGCCCGCACGCTGCTACAAACCCCGGGTTTCCCTCACACCATCCTAGCATGCCGCCCTGGGAACAGCAGCTGACACTCACCGATGCTCTCCCAAGCCCTCATTCTGAATCTCCATGACTTTCTTTCCAATCTCCCGGATAATCTGAGACCGCCATTTATCCGCCTCCACCAAGTCGCGGCATTCCGACGCAAGGTATGGCCGCTTTTGCTTTGGTCCGCGCTTCTCGTCTAGCTTTCCCGCCAGATAGCGGTTAAGCATAGACTGAGCCTTCTCTTCATTGCGCGCCATCCTTTCCCGAGCGCCCGCTGGCGAAAGAAGGTCCTACTGCGGCGAAAGCACTAGCAGGAAAGCAACGGGGCTAAAAGCCCCGTGCTTCTAGCCTGCAGACTACTGTTGTGCTCCGCGTTGCTAAAGCACAGAGAAGTATAAAGGAGTCGTTGAATGGTAGATGCAGAAAGCGGTAAAGGTGATCTAGTACAGCGAGAAACGTCTAGTGTATGTGAGCAACTAGCTTTTGCAAGGACAGTTGGGCTACTGGAATGACAAAGTAGCAATTGCACGAACGACAATTTTCCGATGGAAGCGCTAGCAATCCCTAGTATACCGGTACTAAATGTAAAAAACGATCATGTATGAACACTTACATAAGCATCACTATAGGCGCTAAGTAGTAAAGCAAGCGATACCTACGCAACCTAACCGTGCTGTACCTCTGAACTGTTTGCGGACGGCCAAGAGGTCGCATGGCTACAAGGGGAAGCCAGGCAAGGAACACTGCTCCCAAGGAAGTCTACGAGGGGCGCGTTCACAAGTGGGAGAAGCGCATTGTACAACACAAGAAGGGCGTTGTAAGAAGCGAGGTCCAGCTTGAAGTGCTCCGGTGGATTGCTACTGGTAAGAGTGCCAGTGCAAAATCGAGGGGGCACGCTGCATCGGCTGCTTCTCTCCGTCATGGCTATCCGCCATCCATCCGGTCTCCCAGTCCTTACCCTACACGGTCTGTACTCCCTGACCCCTTACCGCAGATGAGCTTTGCCCGGAGCTGACTGGCCCTCGACATCCTCACATAAAACCGGTATGCGTATTGCTGCGAACCTCGAAACTCCCTAGGATGGGCTTGCCTTGCAGTACATTGGTAGTAGCCCACTTGCCAACCCGCCCGTCCTTTCAGCCCCTCATCTGGAACTTGCTGCCCCGGCCCCCCATACCCCGCTTGCAGCTAAAAAAGCCCATCATCAGGCAGCCAAAGCCACCGTCCGAGCCCACAGGCGAGCAGGCGCCTGCCGACCAGGCGGCCGCGCAGCAGCCCCAGGAGACCCCTAAAGCTCCTCCCGAGGGGACAGCGGGGGAACAAGCGCAGCCTCCACCACCACCGCAGCAGCAGCAGCCGGAAACGCAGGTGAGCGTCCCTCCGGTATAATACAGAGACGGGATAGGCGTTGGCTTGGTGGGACAATCGCATCTCCCAGCCACCAGCTGTTGTCCCAACTCTCTTCCTTTATGCGGTATACTCATCGCACCGCACCAGTCAGCCAAGGACCATGCAGCTGGCGGTTGACCGTTGGTATGCCTGTTGTGTGTCTTCGCAGAGAGTGCCCGCCTCCTCGGCTGGTGATGGTGAGGCGGCAGCGGTGAGGGGCGACCCTGACGCCCCAGCGGCGCAGGAGGCAGCTGCGCAGGAGGCACCGCCTGCTGCTGCTGCAGTAGCAGCTGAGGGCGGTTCGGGAACAGAAGGGGGCAACGGGGTAGGAGTTCCGGAGCAAACTGCCGATATGGCGGTAACGAATGAGGACGCCCCGGGTTCTGTGTCCGCTGGGGTCGCAGGTGACGGAGGTGGAGATGTGGAGATGGGGGAGGCAGCGGGGGCAGCCCAGTGACAGCATGGGTGGACTGCTGGGTGGGCAGGGCGAGGCGTGTTGTATGAAGGAGGTAGCGCGCTTGCGTAGGGGCGGGGTATTGAAGTATAAGGCGCGGAGATGTTAACGCGACCGGTGGTATCCCCACGGGGATAACCTGACTAAAGGTCTCATGACTCGTAACGCACATTTTGTAAAAGGCCGACGTTGACCCGCGCTATGGCGTGTTGGAACCTCAAATGGGCCATGCTGGACAGATTGTGGCTCGCGTTGAGTGCTAAGAAAGGGGTAACTAAATGAGGCATGGGATGGCAGTGGACGTGTCCCGTAATAAACAACGTTTCGTGGCAGGACCTGAAGGGAACAGATGATGGGGCGCACCGTCCTTGCAAAGGAGGGATTTCGGTGCACACACGAATGTGGCGACGGGGGTTGGGCTAGTAAGTAGTAGAACCACGCACCAGCGAGCACCTCAGCGAACACATCACCATTATAGAACCACTATAAATATATTTGCAGGAAAGGAAGTGAGCTTGCAATGCCACGGCGCAAGTGGGGTTGGTTGGATCATCATGAAATCCCCGCGCGACCGCTCTACTCCCCGGTATAAGAAGACTGCCGCCCTCTTTTCTTAGAACGTTCCTATTAACTAGGCCTTTTCTGGTTATTAACTTCTTGAACCTAGTCATTAGAGCCCTTGCACACAGGTGATCACTCTGTGGATCTGCCGCTGCTTAGGCGCTAAAGAAGAATGGCCTGGGACGCGTATATCAGCCAGAACCTGATGGCTCCCCTTGATGCAAACGGGACAACGCTCACCAGCGCCGCTATCGTCGGGCTTGACGGTGGATGCTGGGCGAAGAGCGACAAGTTCCCGGAGTTCTCAGACGCCGAATTTTCCACAATGCTTTCTTCCATGGTTGATGCGAGTATTACCTCTGTGACCATCGGTGGCGTTAAGTACATGAAGACCATCGGCGATGAGACGGTGCTGCGCTGCCGCAAAGACAAGAACGGCTTCATTGCGCGGAAGACCGCATCAGCCATGGTCGTGGGCTTCTACACGGAACCCGCAGTTGACGCCCGTCTATGCAACAAAGTTGTAGAGGCGATGGGTGACTACCTCGAGAGCCAGGGTTACTGAGGCCCACGCTTGCATGCCTCTTCCCGGTGCCCGTTCCAGCATTAGGTTAGGCTTAGGATTACTTGTAGGTGCTTGTGGTGCCGGCAGTTTTTAGTGTGGCTTATGTTAGGCTTGAGCGTGGGAGGTGTGCTGGCTCTGGGACCAACTGCTCGAGAGTCTTGTGTATGCGAGTGCTGCGGGTGGTATCGGCCTATCAGGATTGCAACTGTTATGGGAATTGAGCGGTTATTGTGTTTACAAGGACATTGGGAGGGCGTTAAGCTGTCATGAATAGCTAGCAGGTTTAGGGGCAGTTGGGGACGCACAGCTATTGCAGGACTGCTGCTAAAGCTGGAGTTTGCTTCCAAGGGTGCAAAACTGAGCGTGTAGATATGGAGCAGGAGGGCGGCACCAATTGCTGGCGCAGGTTTGCAGGAGCTGGTTGGCCACGCTGGGGTTGCATTGTAGGGTTGGCAGGCTTCGCCTTCCCTTACGGCTATTACCGGCTCTAAAATTGCGATCCGCAAATGTAACAACGGTGGGTATGACTCGAATGGCTTCTGGTCCATTGACTGTGCGATGCGTCACTTCTCTTCAGGAAGAATGCATTGCCGTACAGTTGTACGTTCGAAGGCCGTCGTCAGTCGCGCTGCGAGCAGGTATATGCTAAGAAATTGGCAGATATATAACTATCAAATCAGGATTTAACCACAAACGAATTAGCTATCCTTGCGCGAGCTTTTCTTATACAATGCCACCGGCGCCAGGAAACGATACCACATACCTAAAGGATACTGTGGGTGAAGCTTTGGCTCGTGGATGTGCAGCGACAATTGGTGCTCAACCAAATGACCCAGTGGAGTATCTAGGCCTCTGGCTTTTGAAGTGAGGCTTGCCTGCGCTTTGCCGTCGACGTTGTATGAACGATACATATTAACGGTTAACATGCATTTATGCGACTGTAGATACGTAAAAAATGCGGAGGTTGAGGGCAACTTCTATAGGGAGCGGCAGCAGGAACTGCAGCAAAAGAAGGATAAGCTGGTAAGTGGGTATAGCGCTATTTCAACATGGGCTTCAACAGTGGGTATCGCCATTACGGGCAGGGAACTGCAAATAAAGTGTGGTGCAAGCATGTGTATGCATGAAGGGTTCCCAGCCCAACCGCCCTTTGCTACCTCCCAGGCGCGGGCCTATGACGTAGCTGACGAGGCAGTCCTTGCGCAATGGCGCTTGTTGTTATATGTGGTACCACAACATGCGTGCCACTAAGTGCTTATTGGCACAGAATTCACTGTTTGGTGGATTGCCGCGGAGCCATACAATCCCACCGTCACACTCTTGCAAGGAGCCATTTCCCCCAACTGCCCCGCTGCCGTCCCCTGCCCATCCCGCAGGTAAAGGAGGCTCAAGCCGAGCAGGCCCTTAAATCAGCGGCTGCGACACGCAAGGAGGCCGCGGAGGGTCTCGGCCTACTTGCTGCCGTACCACGCGATCTCCTGCAGGCCGCCGTACAACTTATACGACAGCACACCTCGGCTGGCGCCGCTTACGCCGCCATCATCACAGACCCCGAGGAGCCCGACTGGACTCCCCCAGAGGACGACGAAGCGGCTGCAGTGGAGTCAGAGGACGAGGGCGAGCCCTCCGCAGCAGCAGCAGCCGATGGGGAGGACGCGGCTCAGCCCGATCAGGACGCTGATGCCGGCGGGGAGGAGGGCATGGAGGGCGCGGAGGGCGATGGCGCGCCGCCCGCCCGCAAGATCCCTCGCCCCGTAGACTACAGCAAGAAGTACTTTGCCTACGTGGCTGCCAGCGCCGGCCAGGAGCACGTGCTGCAGTCCGACCTCTACCGCCCATCACCCCCTCCCGACGACGCGCCGGAGGACTTCAAGCCTGAGCCGCTGCCGTACACCTTCCGTATCCTGGACGAGAAGCTGCCCATGGTGTACGTGGCCAACGTGGCTTCCGAGGAGCGCATCAAGTTCTTCCGCAACTTCCCCAAGATCGGCTCCTACCAGGCATGCGGCGTGTCGCTGGCCTCCAGCGGGGAGTTCAAGGCGCTGCTGGCGGCGGACACGCTGTTCCCGGAGGGTAGCGGCCAGCCGCTGCCGCCTGAGGACAAGGACTTCATTTGGGAGGTGTCGCAGTCGCTGGGCAAGGCGATGGACGCGGTGGCGGCGCAGGCGGCGGCGGCGCTGGCGGGCGCCTCGGCGGGAGAGAAGCTGGAGGCGCTGCGGGCGCAGGTGATGGAGCTGTGGGGGAAAGCGGCGGTGGAGGCGGCGGCGGCAGGTGGGTGGTGCGGGTGGTGGGTGGGAGTGGGGGGGTGAAGGCGGGATGAGAGGTGCATGATGGGTGGGGGATGTGGAGAAAGTGAGGGCCGAACCCTTGCGGCGCCTTGCGCAGTGGTGCATAGTGATGGCCTCTAGTCCTTCAGAAGCCTAGATACGGAGGTCCCTGCATCCATGCAACCGCACCTATGTCTCCCATGCAACCCGCTGCGCAGCCCCGCCCCCGGCAGCCGGCGAGGAGGAGGAGGGCGCCGCACCCCAGGAGGAGGAGCCGGCGCCTGAGGAGCCCGAGGATGCGGAGGGAGAGGGCGAGGAGGATGAGGAGGGTGAGGACGGAGAGACGCCCAGACCCCGGAAGAAGAAGGTGGCGGACCCCATCCCGGGTATCCAGGCGGCCATTGCTAAGCTGACAGCGGCAGCGGAGGCGGCTGCTGAGGCGGAGGCGCATGCGCGGGCGGCGGTGGAGCTGGAGCAGCAGGCCCTGGCGGCGGTGGTGCAGGTGGGTGGCTGGGTGCGATGTTGGGGGGAATGACAATGCCTTTAAGGACGCACCTTTCGGGAGATGCCAGTTAGACAGACATGATGCGGCACTCATCAATGTTTGTATGAATTCCTGAGTTTACGCCACCGTCATTTTATCCCCGCCTCCCTCCCGCCCCCAGGCCGCCGCTGAGTCCTCCGAGGCCACTATCTCCACGCTGCAGCACATGCTCACCGTGCCGCAAGCCACCTTCCACATCGTCAAGGCGCTGCTGCACCTGCTGGGCAAGGAGCCCGCCAGCTTTGCCACCTGGAAGCGCGCCTTTGCGCACTTCACGCCCGCGCTGTTTGAGGACATGGCGGGCTACGACGCGACGCAGGAGCGCGACATGGCGCTGTGGGCGCGTGTGCGGTCTTGCTACAAGGCGGTGTCGGCGCCGAAGAAGCTGGAGACGGAGATGCCCAACACCGCCTTTGGCGCGGTGGCGTTCATGTACATCAAGCAGGTAGGAGAGGGAGGGAGGTGGGGAGGGGTGGCAAGGTGCAGTTGAGGGGGTGAGTGGTGCGAGGGCGGAGTGTGGGAGTCCAGGTTGCGTGTTATGGTAGCGATGGAGTCCAACCCCGGCTTTCCTGCGTCCCTCAACCCTGTGGCAGGTGCGGCGAGTGGCCCGGAAGGCAGTGCTCCTCCGGAAGGCGGTGGCTAAGCTGGAGAAGGCGCAGGCGGACGTGACGGCCAAGCAAGCAGCGTTGGAGGAGGCGATCCGTCTCAAGGCGGAGGCCGAGGCTGAGGCTGCTCGGCAAGCGGAGGAGGCGGCTGCGCGGGCGGCGGCTGAGGCGGCCGCGGCAGCAGCTGCTGGCGAGGGCCAGGCGGAGGGCGGCGAGGGGGAAGCCGCCGGAGAAGAGGGGGAGGAGGGGGAGGGCGATGAGTGAGCGTGAGCCTTAGGATGGTCTCGCTATCTGCCATCGGATGCTTGGTATGTGATTTAGCGTGCTGCGTGGTAGGGGGGAGCTACATGTATATGTACATGACGTTTGCGTGATTCTGTTTGACGCCGCATTGCAAACACTGCAAGCGTGTATAGTCGGGTAGTGTTACATGCATAGCATGCATTGCAAGACGCAGAGTAGGGCGGAGGTAACAACGTACATAGCACAGGGGCAGGGACAGGTGACTAGCATTGCTGGTGTCTTTAGGGCTGCGTATTGCAATCGTAGGTGACGGTATGTGGCGGTGTTGCGCGGAATGAGGAATATCGGATACTTTGGCAGCTGGAGTCTCCTCTGGTAGAGTACAGGTGTTCCAAAGCGACACCGAGTTTAAATTATAGGGCGCCTGACGTCTTCAAATGCCAAAAGAGCGACCGCCGGCAGTACGCTGAGGTATGCGTATAGCACGCACAACAAGGCGCTCCTTGCTAAGAGTCGTGTAACTCTCTCAAACATTACGGTAATGCAACAGGGCTCTTGCAGGCCCCTCCGCCAACCAGTACCAGGAGTCGTGGCCGTCCCGTAGTTAGGAGGGTAACACAATGCCGCACGCCAACTGTCGTTCCTTTCATTACAGCGGTCGCTCCGCAGTTGACGACAGTCTCTTTACCCAACAGTCAGGGCGACACGCCACCAGGATACCAAGATCATCAAGGTATACAGCCTGGAACCGAGCAAGAACCGCTGCTTCGCAAACGCACTTCTCGTAGATACTCCTGCAGCCTCCGCTCGTAGATACCCTGCATGCGCCAAGGCTGCACCACCACTGCTTAAATCAGCACTTGCATGCGCGCGGGTTCACACCCCCGCCACATCCTGCATAGCTTAACCGTCCAACCCACTCAGGTACTATCCCCCTTCCAAGCCTCCTCCGGCAGCATCCACACAACCCGTAGGCATCCGCGTGCGCGCAACCCCTCTTCTCCTTCCTGGGGCTCTTTCCTCTCACGTGCTTCCAAACACGCCCAGCCACTCCTCGTGGCGCTTGATGTCTTCTTTGGACACCGAGGGGTTGATCTTGCGGATGGCCTGCTGGAAGTCCTCCTTCGTCACCGGCTCCTGTCATGGGGGCAGCAGCAGCAGCAGCAGCAGCACGACATAACACGCTCAGTTTGTGCCGTCAAACCACTCACTCTCAGGAGGGGTGCCGTTTCCTTGCTGCTGCCTAGAAGGCTGCAACCTCCGTCTCTTAACACGTTTCTAAAGCCCCGACATGCGCCCAAACTTCCCGAAAATGCCCTGCTATTAGCAGTTTAGCACACCCACGAGAACCCACACCCACCTTGAAGCTGTCTTTTCCCGCCTCCCGCAGTGCCAAGATCTCCGCGGGCGTCTTGCCCGCCACCAGGCGCCGCATGCCGTTCATGGCGGCGTCGCGGCAGATGTTGGTGATGTCGTCGCCGCTGTAGCCGTCCAGCTGGGCGGCGACCGAGTCCAGGTTCACGTCATCCGCTACGTCCACCTCCTGCGGTAGGGTGTAGGACGGTATACGGTGAAGGGGTGACAGCTCGGGGTGAAAAGGGGCGGCGGCTCGAGGTGTGCTTAGGTATGGACGGAAAGGGGGTGCAACCGGGAGAGCATGTGGCAATCGCGGCTTCCCGCCACTTGCTTCTTTCAGCCATGCAGGGGTGTAACATTAACAGACAGCACAAGGCAGCACCAGAAGCGTTCAAGAACTGGGTTCAGAGTCTGATAAAGGAGCCCCTTGCATCGTCCGTCTGCCGCCAGAACCAGCGCGTGGCCACATCAACCATTGTGACAACACATCAACCACTGCACCACAGCCATTCACTCATTCACATCTACCGCGACACTACAGCAGCGCACACCTTGAGGTTAATCTTCAGCAGTTGCAGTCGCTGTGCGTGACCCGGCAGCGGGATGTACACGCGCTTCTCAAGGCGGCGGCGCAGTGCCTCGTCGATGTCCCAGGGGAAGTTGGTGGCTGCAAGCACGAACACGTGACGCGGCGCGGGGGGCTCTCCGTCTGGGCCGCCCGCCGCAGCTGCGTCCTTGTCCTTGTCGCCGCCCCCGTGCACGCCGTCGATCTAGTGGGTGGGTCGGGTGGGTCGTGTGGGCGCAAGGGACAAAAGGGGAAGAGGCTGAGGTTGGGGGCAGCGGTACCGGTATCATGCATGGTGTAGCCGATACGCCGTTGTAAGAACGGCGAATACCCTGCCCATCCCTCAAAAACTAAAGTCACGACCTCTGAATTGCACGCCTACGGCATAAGCAACTGCCCTACCGTTTCCCTTGCAGACCCTTCCCTACTTCCCTCGTCGTTAACAACAACATGCTCCCCATCTGCCTGCCCACCCATTGTTCACAGCAACGTATTTCCTCCCCCCGCGCCCTGCCCACCTGCACCAGCAGCTCCGTCTTCACGCGGCGCGAGGCCTCGTGCTCGTTAGCGGTGCCGCGCTGCGAGCACAGCGAGTCCACCTCGTCTATGAAGATCATGGCGGGGGCCATTTCGCGAGCCATGTCGAACAGCACACGCACCTGGGGGCGGGGGTGCGGTTGCGTTTGGATAGGAAAGGGAGAGAGAAAAGATGAGGGCGCCGGGAGGGTTGACGTCGGGGTACACCCGTGCCTCATGGAAAGGAACGCATGGGGAAAAAGCATTTGACAGTGGGCAACGAGCCAACAGATACGATATGCGTATGGTGATGGGGCCACTGACGGACAACAGAGGACTAAAAATTGAATAGCCACATTACGGTAAAGTGTTCAAGATCCCTGATTGTGCCGCTCCTCTTCTTCTCACCATACGCTCACTTTCTCCGCGGTACTTGGACGCCAGGGTGGCTGAGGAGACGTTGAAGAAGGTGCACGAGGTCTCCGTGGCCGCTGCCTTGGCCAGCATGGTCTGTGGGGGGTGCAGCAGGTGGGGGGTGAAGCGGTTGGGAAGATCAAGCAAAGCGACAGCGTGGGCGTGTGGCGGTTCTCAGTCGCCCGAGAATCGCGTTTTGCTAAAAGTACAGCAAGCAAAGTGGGACAGCATGCAACCACCCCCAGTACCAGCTAGCTAGAAACCAATGGGGCTGTACGATTCCGCTCACCTTCCCGGTTCCTGGAGGGCCGAACAGGAGGACACCCTGCGTGCAGCACATGGTCGTTGCGCCGTCAGTGTTCATCATCCGAAGTCGGCCCCCAGAAAACTTCAAATACAAGTGAAACGCAACGGCCATGCAACATACAGTTTGGACGTGCGCGTTTGTGGCGTTTACACAAGGCAGCTTCCCATGTTTCCTCCCTGGTCTTCCCCATCCCTCTGCGGGCCGCCGCCCCCCACCCAACGCCGCACCTTGACGGGTCTGCGGATGCCCGTGAAGAAGTCGGGCATGATCATGGGCAGCACCAGTGCCTCATTGAGAACCCGCTTGGCCTCCTCCAGGCCCGCGATGTCGTCCCACCTGCGGTGCCGTACACAGCCCGAACCCCACATGTAGGCCACACATTGCCGCCGGCTTGCTGCATGGAATTGGCACACCAGCCTCTCCACAAACTAAAAACTGCGCGCTTTCCCTCCTCAGCCAAAAAGCAGTCTTTCTACGATACTCTGCAACCCCACTCACTTTACGCTGATGCCCTGGTCGATAATGTCCCTCTCCAACATGTTGGCTAGCTCTTGGTCGGGACCCACGTACTGCTTCTTGTTGGCAGCCGCTCCTGCCGCGCCGGCACCGCCCTTGCCGCCGCCCGCAGCGCCGCCCTTGTCCGCCATGTTCTGGCGCCAGGGCTTGTCGTACCCCGCCGCCTTGTTGCCCGCAGCGGGGGCGTTAGCAGCTGGAACATGGCACGGGTGGGGGGAAGGTGAGAAAAGGAGCAGCCGGGGTGTGGGGTCTGTGACGTTGGGGCTAGGGCGGACGTTGGGCATGAGGGACACCAAAAGGCACACCCTAGCTGTGACCAACTGAACCTAACGAGCGTGTGCGCAGAGGGAGGGTGCGGTGCTGCCGTCCCTAGGGTATTCCGGTAACACGGCGTACGTGTGCTGCAAGCCCAGGCAGCGGTGTCGTCCCGGCTCACCTCCTGGTCTCCGCTGTGCCGACGACGACCGCCCTGGCGGCCCCGCTGCATTCGCCTGCCTGCCCCCGGCTCCCGCCCCGTTGTTAGACCAAGACGGCGCCTGGCGGCTGTCATCCTGGCTGGCGCGAGGTCGTGCTGGGGCCCCTCCGCGCACAGGGGCGCTGCCGCGGCCTTCGCGCGTGGGAGGGCGCCACACCATGGGGTCGTCTTGGCCCTGGTTTGGGTTGTGGCACTTTGGAAGTAGGGCGCGGGCAGAGGGGACAGAGAGGAAAGGGACACGGTTGGTTATTGCGGGGAAAATTCATCATGGGTTAAGCGGAAAGCTGAACATGCCTCAGGTGCGGACGCGGAAGGCATGACAAACATGTGCAGTTGACTCACCACGACGATGGGTTGTCGGTAGCCATCATCGTACGCCGCAGATGCACGGGCATCTCCCATCTGCAAGGGCACACCATGGCATCGGCTTGTAAGGGCAAAGTAATCAGAGTAACGGTCGGGCCGGCCGAGGGCCCCACATTGGTAAGCGGTGCTTGAGAGACAATGACCGAGCCCCATCACCATGACAGGATAGCGCCAAACATCTAGCAGGCGTCCGGGCCGATGCCTTTACCTCCAAGCGTGGCAAAAGTCCGAGTAAAGTGCTCAGTTTGTGGCTGATCGGGCCCAGAACTTACATCGCCGTAGCTGTTTGCCCGTTGGACTCCGGCATCCATGCGCATACCACGTGCCTCCTTGTCGCACTGCCGTACACAGCTGAACTCATCCTGTAGCTGATGCAGGAGTGCAGTCCAATGCCGAATTGCAAGCGGGTCGCCCAACATGCGGATGTACCTGGAGGGGTTGTCCAGACAGGGGAATCACCACGGCAGCTCTAAGAGTGTGCAGGTGATCTGGGCCATGGTAATTTCACGGTGTTTCGTTGTGTACAAGGGGTGCTTGGTGTTGAAACCGGGTAGGATACCAGCCGCCGGACGGCATGCCCTGCGCCCCTGCCGTGTGAAAGCTTGCCATGTTGCCCGAACCGACAGAAGGCAGACAGTTGTACAGTGTTGCCGATAAGGAAGGAGGTCTGCATACCTAGACGTGAGCTCCACAGCGTTCTCATAGTAAGTAACACCAGCCGAGTAATCCCCGCTCATAGCACAATCACGGCCTGCCGTCACCGCTATGGTGATCGCCTGCACCTCGGAGCCCATGCTGCCTCGATGCTACCAGCAACACCGGGCAGCAAGATTCGTCAATACCCTTGGCCGCCAAGGTGCTACACGTATTTTAAGAGTACTTGAATGTGATATTGTGTTCCATTAACGACCAATCCTTCTCTACAGGGTGGGTTGTCGCGTAGAGCAATGCGCTTTACAGGGAGTGTAGATATCCAGCTAGAGGACTGCTATTAGCGTTCCAAATATCTTTTGTCTCTAGCACGATATGTTCTGCAACGATCACCGGCTAAACAACGCTAGCAATTGTGCCGTACGGAGTTTGAAATGCTCAGGAACTAGAGTGGTGCTACCCCAACGCGTTGGTACAGCGCTGTCTTCAGGAGCTATGTAACATTGCTTTTTACAACTATATACATATTCGCTAATCGTTCCTTAGCATCTTCCTTCGGACCACTTGTGTGCCTGCAACCTCTCTGCACGCAATGATACGGCCAGCTATGTCAACAAGCTAATGTTTTGGGTCGTTAATGCTGAACATAAGTAGTATCGCGTCAGTCTAGAGGGCTTCGCCTTGACAGCAAATCCCTAGTCACCATGGAGTTTGCAGAAGCGTCCGACGACTTTATGGCCATGGACGCGCCAACTGCTGCGCCAGCAGACGAACATAGCGTGTTGGAGGCAGCAGCACGCTTAGAGGCCTTCCTGAAAGGTGCGCCTGGAGCTGTACTCCAAGCAGGACTAGACCGGCGACTTGCTGACCAAGCGCCCGATTGCACACTGTCGGGGCGTGCAGTTACCCTTAATACTTTTATGATGGTACCGTTGTCCTGGTGATGCCGTTTGGCCTGACCTCTGTTGCAACCGACGCGACATCAACACGGCCAAAGCGCAACCCTCCAATTCAACGCGATCGCGTAGGCCAAGGCTATCTGCCAATGGGAGGAAAGCTTACTATTCTGAATGCTGGTGTGGAGGCTGCTTCCCACTTGGTTGACTTGCTGTTTCGGCTGGTAGGTGTAACCAGGGGTTATGGGTCTTGAGTGGGTCTGGTTAGATCACATGCCCTCCGATACATCAAGTTCAAGCCATGGCTAAGGATAACGCTGATTCATTCTACCTGAAGTTATCGGAGTCGGCGGGTATTTCCAGCTTTTAACCTCTTGCAACTCTCTCCCACCGTGTTAACACCTGTCTTGCTCGGTACCTCGCGCGCGCAGGCTAGCCAACAGCAGCAGGATGACCGAGCCCGTGAGATGATGCGAGACCAGGCTGATAAGGACCGAGTGGCTCTTGCGGCCGCCCAGAAGCGGATTGAAAGCCTGGAGGATGCCAACAAGCGGCTATCAGCACAAGTCAAGGAGCTGGACGGAAAGGTAAGGGGCCGTGGCACTGGGAAAGGGGTATTGATGGGGCTTCGCGGGCTTTTACACTCCGTTTGCGTCCCAGCTTGACGCACCCGGCACCCATCCAATCGCCGAAAACAGACAGTTGCACCTGACATGTGAGCGTATGCATAGCTATGGCGGGGCACTAGTTAAGCAACGCCATGTCCTGTTGTCCTCCCACAGCTGCTAGCATCAAAGCATAAGGCTGAAGAGCAGGAACGGGAGCTAAAGCAGAAGCTCCAGTCCACTACCAACCGGCTAAACGGCTACCTGTACGGCGGCAGGGACGCTGGTAAGCGCAACGCGGCCCCCGGGGGCGGCAGCTCGGGAGCCACAGGGGCTGGGGGCGCACGCAGGTCCGCGCCCGCCTTCGACAGGTTCCGTGATGACCCCATGGAGGCCACAGCGGCAACGCAGGTACGGTACTTAACCGTGGGCATCATTGCATGGGATCCTCCTGCGTGCGCGGTTTGCAGTGTGTCATCCGGCTTGGTCAACGCAGCCACGCGCCGAAGGATGCCGTATGCCCTAATGCGCTTGTTGTTGGGATGCCGCAGAAGCTGGAAGCAGAGCTTGCGCAGCTCAAGCAGGTGAACATGCGGCTTAAGAAGGAGCTGGCGGCTGCGCGCGTGCAGCCGGGATCTGGGTCGGGCTCGGGGATGGGCGGCCGCGGCTCTGGAGGCTCGCCACTGCGTGACGGGCGCCGTGAGGACCAGCGGCGGATGGAGGCGGGCCTGTACGGCGACGACAGCCATGCAGACCTGGACATGCAGGTAGGGCATGGGCTGGGTTGGGTTGGGTGGCTGTGATGTATGGCCTTCTGAGGCTTTTGCTGGGAGAATGAGGGGCTAAGCGTTGCGAGAACTGCGGGCAATAAGACGATTGAGTGCATGTCGTGCTTCGCGAGATAGGCCCGTCCTCGATTTCCATGTGGGTTCAGTCCCTTATCCCGCGTCAACTAATCCCGCGCGTGTGCCCCCCATGTCCCGGCTCAGTCGGTCCGCCATGCGCTGATGGCGGAGGCGCGACGCAGCGTGGACTCCGCATCCGCCCGCTTCGCAGCTGGTTTGCGCCCGGCTTCCCCAGATGGCGAGGTTGCTCGGCTGCAGCGGCTCGTCCGAGACTTGCAGGCGGTGAGTATGACGTCATGGGTGGTACGGCTACCGCAGGAGGCGAGTAAGGTCCACTTGTAGGAGGTTTTAAGCTCCCGTGCTGGTCCGGTCCTGGTTCGTCGATTGTGTTGGTGGTATGGTGTTTCTTACCCATCCTTGTCGTCTCTCGCCCCTTTAGAACGTGGAGCATCTGCACCGCAGCAAGCAGGACCTGGAGCGCCAGCTCAGCCGCACAGTGACCGAGAAGTCAGAAATGCACAAGACGCTCCACACGCTGCGGAGCAAATGCGTAAGTTGGCTGGCTGCCTAGCGGCTGCCCGCTCCTTCGTACTCTGGCTGGTTTGCGCGTGTATATCACCGCCCTAACGCCCTGTTGCTTGGGGTTATCCACTAGCTTGGGTTCACCTTTTGCTTAGAGCTTACAATGTGCCGCCGCTGGCTGCTGCTGTGTGCAGGCGAGCCTCGAGGTGGAGCGCCGAAACGCCGAAGACCGCTTCCTCCGTGCGCAGCGCGCCAACGCATCCCTCCTCGACCCCGCCGCCTCTGAGGCCCAGCTGCTGGAGCTCCGTGACAAGCTGGCGGTGACGGAGCGGGAGCTGCAGGAGGCCAAGGAACGGTGAGGCAGGCAGCCAGTGGCTCCGGGCTCGCACTGCTTATCGATTCACCGCTACTCTCCTAAGAGACCAGCACACATTCTGTTACGCGGCTCAGTTATGCGTCAGCTGCTTCGCAGCACTGGGTGCGTAGTTTGCCCTGTACCATATGGCCGTGCGTAGCTTGCTCACGCTCCTCTTGTGCCGACTGGTAACTGGTCTGTTGGCGCAGGGCGGAGGGGCTGCAGCGGCAGCTGGCGTCCGCCGAGGCGGATGTGGAGTCCAACCAACGCCACGTTGAGGTGCTGAAGCGCGCCATTCGGGTGCTGCCCAAGGGGCAAGCAGCGCTCGAGGAGATCCAGAGGCTGGTGGAGGAGGAGCTGCGGCCGCTGCAGGACAGATTGCGTGAGGCGGTTGCAGAGCTGGCGGAGGCACGGGCACAGGTAAGACGGGGGCTTGGCAGGGGAGGACTCTGGTATGTGTGATGGGAAAGGGTGAAACAGGCTATGAACAAAGGGACTGTGACTGGCAGGAAGGCTGTGGGGCGCACAGTTCTGCTTGTCGCATGCGTTGCATTGGTTGATATGTTTAAGTGCTGACGTCATCGCCATGTGGCCCTGCAGCGCGAAATGGAGGCAGCCTGTGCCAGTGCTAGAACCGCTGAAACGGGGTCGGAGGCGGAGGCTGTGCTGTCAGCAAGGGACACGGCCGACCTCGGAGGCAGCGAACGCGGGTCGCCACTCAAGAACCTGCCCCTATCTCCAACGATTCCTCTACCTGCGTCGCCGGGCTTTGACGGCTTCGCACCCGCTCCGGCATCCCTAACTGACAGCCCACCACCTCTGCAGCCGCTGCCCGCACACGGTGCCTACAATCGCGGATTTGCGGTGTCCTTCCCTAGCACGAACTCCGAGCTCAGGTCGGTGTGCTCGCCTGTCCAGGAGGAGGGCGACGGGGACCGTGGGGCCCTGCATCAGACGCCAGCACAGTTCCAGCTGTCTGGCCAAGGCGGCTTCACAACCCAGCCTGGGCACGACATGGGCAGTGCAGGCAGCGCTGGCGGCGGCAGCGGTCCTTTTGTACGGCGGAGCTTGTCGGCGGGTGTTTCGCAGCGCTTGGAGGACGCGTATACCTCCGCGGAGCGGCAGCGGGCACGCTGGCAGGTGTACAGCCGTCAGCGCTTCCCAAGCCCCATCGACATCCTCATGGAGCAGGCCCGCAACCCTACCGCCACTGACGAGACCATCTCTGTTGCGCACATGGCGCCTCTTCCGTCAGGACAGGCCGCAAGCATCACAGCAGGAGGCTCTGATTCGCCCATGTGAGCTATGTGTCTGAAGAGAGGGTTTTTGGCGGATGCTGTTGCAATCGCCTTGGACGTAGGGCACTGCAATTTTGTCAGGAACAGCCGTCGCTGTTGTATATGGTGCCGTACGTGCCGCATATAGATGCCTTGCGTCAGTTCTGCCATGAGCTGCTATTAGGCTGCGTACTTAGTCTAGGTTCTAGTCTGACAGAGAACAAGAAAGCATTGTAGGCTTAGGCAGATACCCCAGGTATTAAGCATGGTGTATTTGGTGTCGCATGGCCTGTTATTCAGCAATTAAATCTGAGAGGAAGCCGTTTTTGGCTGTGAACGGACTTTTGAACAACACAGGCTGCAAGTGTATTGAAGGTTACGCAGATGTCAACGTGTTTTAGAAGTATGGTAACCGTGCTTCACAGGAATGTAAAAGCTGCCGGTCTCTCCTGGCGTTAACCGTTGAGCATGTCATACAACATCGTGTGAGTTTACCTTACAAAATGTACGGACAGATGCGTCAAATTGGCATGCGACTAAGTTAGCAGTTTGGCGACACGCCAGAAGAATGGAAACACAAGGAGAATCGCCACAAACTGCATTGGCAAACAAGTTGTAGGGTTCAAAAGTCGGCAATTTACCACAGTAAAGGAAAACAGGCGTCTCGGTCAAACGTATCCCGGCAGAAACTCAGCCGCTGGCGTGTGTTGTTATTCCGAAAAGCGGGCAACATAGGCGTCCACAATGGAGCGTACACGGTCAGGTTCTCAAGCAACCTGCTTGCAGTAAAGAGCCCCAATGAAGAGCCGGGCAGGCAAGCGCTGCACTTAACCTCTGTAACGGTGGAGTAGCATTAAAACTGACACCACAACACAAAATCCTCGATATCAGGAAACACCACGACACGTGCAGGACATAAAACAAGCACCACCAGCGTACACACACCTGGGCAACACAAGCACAATGCGAGAATGAAGAGTCCGTGTCTGCAACAAGAGATGAGCATTCGAGAGGTAGGGCCGCCCAAGCCGGGCACTGTACATAAGCAGCATCAAGACGCAGGACAACTGACATGCGTCACACGCACAAGGAACGTGTGGGCATGGGTCCTGGCCATGTGCCATTCCACGGCCCCAGGGCCCTGAGTCCCACCCTTAACAAACGGGTAAGACTAGGCCAAGGCCTCAGCAAAGCTGTTAGATTGACAGAATGCAGACCACGACAGACACCTCCTGCTCCCTCTTGCAGACCGTCTCGACTTCTACCCAACTGCCCAACAGCGCACCGCGCACATGACTCAAGAGTGGGGCTCAAGATTTCACCTGCCATAAACGCGCGCGCAAACTGACAAGCGCGCGAGTTTCGCCCCAACATAGCAGGCTAAAGGAATAATGCGGTGCAAGCACTCGCGCCCCTCTTGCCTCTCAAATGCAAAGCGCGGCTCGCTAAGTCTCTCCAGCGCTCAGGTGAATACGCGCAGAAGAACAACTGGGCAGCTAGGCATACATGTCTTCTCAGGTTCTCGCATTTGCCCAAGCGGTCACTCGATCCGGAGTACATACTGCGCTATACAGAGCCACATGGGCCCAAAACAACGCAAAATCAAAGCCCCGGAATAACAAGCTGTGTGCTTTCCATGACGCTGAACGACGAGCAGCAACAATCAGCAAGAACGCTTAAACGTGCGCACATGGACCATGGCTCTAGCAGCCACAATCATCTCGCTGGTGCAACGGCGTCTTGCTACCCAACAGGAAACAGGAAACCGCCGTGTCGCTGTAGCGCCCTCTTGACAGCAATGAAGTCAACGGCTCCAGCTGGGGCGCTCTCTTTCCTGCGGTGAACTCTTACTACCATCATCATGGCGCTGACAGTGTGAACTGCTACAGGCACTGCTACATTGGCCTGCATGTGCAACGCCATCAAACAAATGTGTCCAACTCCATGTATGATGCCCCGCTCCTCCACGCTACGCCTATTGCCTACATCCCACACGCAACACATGCGGCGTCAACAACTGTCTAACCGGGAGGTATGCTCTACACAGCGGTCATGCTGTCTGGTGCTCCGTAGGTCTGCAACAGCTGGGCAGACCACGGATAAGGCCAACCGGCCTCCAACTTAATCCCATGCGCTCTGGCCATCTGCGGGACATAGGGTAGGGCAGGCACAGGGGACACGAGTAAGCAATAGAGCTAACAGGCGCATCCGCAACAAAGGTTTTACCGCATAAAGCGTTACTGCGTGAAAGCGTTACCGCATAAAGCAGTGAACGCAACAACACCTTGGGACATGGCATTCGGACACCCGACAACCCAGCCAAGACTGAACCCAATCTACATAGCTAGAACAAACTTACAGCCGCCGCCTGCGCCGTAGCCACCGCCGCCGCCGTAACCGCCACCGCCATAGCCACCGCCGCCGCTACCGTAGCCGCCGCCACCGTAGCCACCACCGCCGCGGTTGTCTGTTAAGCAGGGTAAAGAAGGAAACGGACGTTAACACACGCATTCAACCATCATGGGTCAACAAAAGAGATTGTCCGTGTCCGTGTCGATAAGGCCGAAACCTTAAATTTCACACCCATACCCCATTCTCCGAAGCCCCCACCGCCAGGCCACTTACATCCGCCACCGCCGTAGCCGCCACCGCCATAGCCGCCGCCGTAGCCACCGCCACCACCACCGCCGCCACCGCCGTAGCCGTCCTTGCGGAAATCGCGACCGCCGAAGCGGCCGCCTCCGCGGCGGCTCTTCTGGCCGTAGCCTGGGGTGCGCGCAGCGTAGTTCTGCAGCCAGCCCGGCACCGTCTGGTTGGTCTCCGTCAGCACCTCAACCAGAGACCGAGCGAGCGGCGCGTCGGCGTCCGTGAAGAAGGCGGTGGCCAGACCCTTGTGGCCTGCACGGCCCGTGCGACCAATGCGGTGCACGTAGTCGTCAATGTCCTTCGGCAGGTCGTAGTTGATGACGTGGGTAACGTGCGGGATGTCCAGACCACGGGCGGCCACGTCGGTGGCAACCATGACTGGCGTCTTGCCGCTCTTGAAGCTGCGGAGAGCCTGCGGGGGGGAAGGATGTTGGTCAGCATGCATTACAGCCTTGCGACAAGGTGCCATGCGCTCGTATGAACAGCGCCTCATCCGGAAACCAAGACGGGCTCCTTAACAGCCCTTACCTTCTAAGAAGGGAAGGCATCACATCTCATCTACGCCTCCTACCCCCAACCCGTACACAACGGTGCATACACTCCCAAACCCGTCCTCACCATCTCACGCTGCTCCTGCGAGCGGTCGCCGTGGATGGAGGTGGCGGGCAGATGGCTGCGCGTGAGGATGCGCTCCAGCTCGTCCGCGCCGCGCTTAGTCTCCACGAAGACCAGCGTCAGGCCCTAAGGACATGGCAGATTGGGCAAAAGGAAAGCAGAGCCGTAGCCATGCAATTTAGCGGACTAACTTGCGGATCCCAGCAGTTAGGAGAAATGCCGGTGCCACCTCCATGCCAGCGAGCTGAATCAAAGAAAGATATGGTCCAAAGGCGCCAAATATCCGTATGCGTTCCTCGATTACACCCCTCGGGGTGTACGGTTTTTTTTACCGTGTCTTTCGATGACCCTTTCAGGCCCAACTGAGCCCGTACCCACTACCTACGTCTCTGCAAGTGACTCAACGCCCTTTTTTGCCCCAACAACTCCCCCCCGGGTCAAGCGCGTCCCGACTCACCTCGACCGTGCTGATGAGGTCCAGCAGCGTGTTCTGCTTCTCGTCCGGCGACACATACTCAATGTGCTGCACAATCAGGTCGGTCGAGGAACCCACGCGGCCAACCGTCAGGAAGACGTAGTTGCTCAGGAAGTCGGCGGCCAGGCGCTGAATCTCCTTGGGGAAGGTGGCGCTGAACATCAGCGTCTGTCGCTGCCCCACAGGCGGCATGTCCTCCTGCTCCACGATGCGGCGGATCTGCGGCTCGAATCCCATGTCCAACATGCGATCGGCCTCATCCAGGCACAGGAAGAGGATCGAGGACAGGCCAACGCGGCCGCGCTCAATGAAGTCGCTGAGGCGGCCGGGGGTGGCCACGAGGATGTCGCACCCGCGCTCCAGGTCGCGGAGCTGCGACATGAAGGCAGAGGCGGGGACAAGCGGTAAGTGAAATGTCAGCCATGCGTGTTGAGGGACACCAACTGGGTAGCTGAATGTGGATATAGGGTGTTACCTAGATCCCCCCCCAAAAAACGGTCGTGCTGCGGTGTGAGAAGAAGCGAACCCTTCGCGTAATCGTGCTATCATTGCTAACGTCATGTTTCGTGATCGTTCCAAGATGCGGGCAGCTGACAAGGCTGGGGGAGGAGAGGCAGTAAAGGGATCCACCTACGCAGGGAGCGAGGGGTAATACCCACCCGAGAGAGCAACCAAGACTGTTGTTTCAACGACACCCTTTAACACCCCTGACCACACATTTTAATGTCTACACGCAACATAGCCCACCTGGTTGGGAGCAGGGGCACCACCGTAAATGACCACTGGGCGGAGGCCAGTCATGTACGTGAACTTGCGCGCCTCGTCGTAAATCTGAGACGTCAGCTCGCGAGTGGGCGCCAGCACCAGGGCCCCAGGTAGCGCCTTGCGGCTGTTCCGGCCTCCAGATGGCTGGTAGCCCTTCATGAGCATAGCGGCGATGATCGGGAAGCAGAAGGCCGCCGTTTTGCCTGAGCCGGTCTGAGCGCAGGCCATAAGGTCACGTCCAGCTAGGCCAATGGTAATAGAGTGCTTTTGCACAGGAGTTGGCTTCGTGAACTTGCAGCGCTTGATGTTGTCCATCATGCACTGTGGCAGGTTCAGGTCCTCGAAGCTGTGCACGGGGTTGGGCACGTCCTTGCCGCTGGTCTCCACAGGGATATCCTCATAGGCATCAAAGTTGATGCCGGTGTTCTCAGCACCATACAGCGCGTCGATTTCTGCCTTCTCCGCCTCTGCCTTCTTGAAGGGATCGTCGTAGGGTCGGTTAAAGCCCACACCGCCAATCCCTGCGAGAACAATATTATAGAAGAGAGATATAGTTTAAAACTTGTTAGCGTTTTGCTGTTCCGCTTCAAGAAGGCCAGGTGACCTCGCGCGGGAAAAAACGCAACCTGACCCACCAGGAGCGCCGCCCTCGCCACGAGGAGCGCCACTGAAGCCACCACGGCCGGCCATGCCACCGGCAAATCCACCACGGCCACCATATCCACCACCACGAGGGCCACCATAGCCACCGCCATAGCCACCGCGGCCGCCCCGATCACGATCCTCAAAGCCACCGGCAGGGCCGCCAAAGCCAGCAAATGCGCCCATCACAGGGCCCGGAGGCGGAGGTGGAGGTGGGGCTCCCATGGACATGCCCCTGAGGTGCGGGGGCACATACTGACCCCCACCAGCGCCTTGGAATGCCATCCTTAAAAAAGAAAAGAGGCAAGCCTAGCCTCTACTCCTAAGTCACTATTAAACGCCTAGCTGAACCTTACGGTCAGCTTGTGAAAGGTACAAATTTTGTTGGGTTCGTGTACTTCTATAGCTTCTTCCGGCGCCGTACGAGCATCGGGCTATCAGCCTTTTATGTCCCTGCGTGCTCGACAAATATTCAGAGAACTTACAGTCGATTCTTTTTATCAGATGAGCTAAGAACCTCGTTACTCGGTAAGGAAACCACGGATTGCCTTTCCTTCTTTGCCCAATACCTTGTCAACCGTTCCCCTTTGGTCGATGGGTTTAGGGCATAACCCCTCCGTGTCTTGGAAAAGACTGCGCGTCACCAGAGGTTACCGTGTATGTAGATCTGTCGAGTCAAAGCCCTTCTGGGAGTAGCCCAGGTCGCACCTGATATGCCAATGGGTTGGCTGCGTACGTGCAGCAGCGATAGGCGCAGAAGTTCTTGGGATAGGATTTGCTTTGGGCTGCTTTGTCCACGCCATCGAGTGTGAGCTGTTCTGCTGCCTGTCATCCGCCTACATAATGCTTCTCCTCGTCAGAGTGGGGTTTACCCCACAATAATAGCAGAGGCAAACTGCTTACACGCTGGAGGTCGATAGCGATGAGGCTCTGGCTCGCGTACACGCAGGGTGTGGGTAAAGACATAGGGGCAGTCCAGAGCCCGCCCAGACGCATAAAGCGCCATATAACATGCCGCCACCTGGGTAGTATTGCTGCTCGCCACCCAAGCTGCGGGGCGAAGCAGTGTTGATAACCATGCCGAGCATCCAGGGGATGGTCTGGCAGTGTAGCGAAGCGCCGGCCGGGGTGATGGCTTACAATCTGCACGACGCGTGGGACACTTGGACGGACCCATGTCATGTTTTGGCTTACCTAACCCGCTGGCAAGGCCCTGGAGAAGCAGACAGACGCATGTGCGGGTGGCACACAGGTTGCCCTACACTAGCCGGCATAGCTGAACCGGCAACGTAAGCGGTACAAACAATTAACACAGCCCGCTTGATCATTTCTCGCAAGCGGCAGCTCAATAGACAATGTCGTACACGCTAGGCTCCACGCAGTACAATCAGCGTGCACTATCCAGGCGCCTGCCCTTTCACACGGGCAGATACGCCATGCGCACTCCGCTGATCCAGCCGGGGCTGCCTCCGAAACCCTTCTTGGGGCTGGGGTTGCGCGGGTCTCCTTGCATGAGCCTGCATTCCTCGTACTGCACCTGTTGACCGCAGCCGTACGGGTCCGAGCACCAGCCCCAGATGTTGCAACCCTGAGCATGCAATCCGGGGCCGAGGGGAGTGATGAGAGGGGGAGAGGTGAGCGACGGTGTTTGTCCACCAGCATACCAGCACATTGGGTTGACCCATGCGCAACTCGGCGCCATGCAGCTGGAATGGCGGAGAGATATCGTACAAACGCAATTACCGGTATGCACGCAAACCCAATGGCTGTACGGCATTCATTACACCACGCACCCTTGTGGCCATGCAATAGTTGCAGCATGAATCCGCTGAGAACATCATGATGAGTGGGGCCCCTTTGGCTCGTCTTATCTGCAAGGACGGGGGAAGGGAGTAGGAGAAGAAACGCTCACCCGTACTGACCCGAATGCCGATCCTTTATTGCCCAACCCCTGGTCGTTGCGACTTTCCGCTCGTCACCCTGTAGCCCTTTGACACGCAGAAGGGCCATGCTCCTACTCACTCATTTGCAGCGTTCCTCACCTGAGTCCCCTGAAGCTCTGTGTCTAGTAGCGCCGTGCAGGGCCGGCCGAACTCACAGTCCATGACACCGTCCGTGTCTGATATGTCCGCTGCACATTGGGCGTCTACCACGCATGCCGGCTTTTGGTGCACCTTTTCGCTCGTCAAAGCGGCACAAACACCCTGAACGCAGCGTTTGGCAGGGTGATAGAGGAGCTACTGTGCACTCAGTCAGTTTAGGCGGGCTGCAGTTGGGTGCCAGGCATGCATGTCTCGGTAATGCATGGACCACTAGTGACTTGTAATGCCAGTGCCCATGCATCATGTCAAGGTGTCAACCCAGGGCAGTGCATTTGCCTAAATAGCCACGAAGACGCGTGCTAAACACACGTGTCCTTCCCCAGTACTGGCCTCGAAGCGAAAGCCGTTGTAGACGTAGCTGACGTTGCACGTACAAGAACCACTGCGCGTCAGGCTCTGGTCAGGAAACCAAGCACCATCCACAATACCGGGCACCGTTGTTCCGCTGATCCACCCTTCATCTGCGGCGAAGATGCTTCTGGGACGTGGGAAACGACCAAAGGTGTTGTTCTTCGCAGGTGGCGGCTTGTCGTACATGAGCCAGCACTGCTGGAACCTGAATGGCGAGCATGATGACAAGCGCACGCCAGGAGGAAACGTGTCTCAACATGCATTACTATGCCACCCCAGCCAGCCAGCACCCCAAAGAAGAAAGCCTGGGTGCTTCAAGACTGGAGGAAGCTGCATCCCCACTGGCAGCCTTCAGGGTCCTGCTGCTGGCACACCGGTACATGTGATAGTCCCAGGTCCGTACCTCTTGGCCTTCTTGCCTCTTGCTACTCGACATGTCTTGGCGGAAGACGACCCGCACCAAGACCAGATGTTGCAGCCAGGAGTCCGCACGCACGTGTCACGACACGCAGGCGCGGTTGGCACCTTGTGTCCGCGCTCATCCGCATCCAACAAGATGGCGCCGTCCGGGTTGCGACCGCTGACAGCGATGAGGTGTACCGGGGGGGACGCGGCAGCAGCGGGCGAGGCCCCTGTGCAGGAAGAGGGAGCGCAGGTCAGGGGAGCTTGGAGCAAAAGGGAACACCTCGCCGCCTCTCCATGCCAGCAGAGGGCGTCTTGTTCTGGATGAGTAAGGCGAGAGAGATAGAACCGTAGAAAAGGCGTACCGGCAGCAGTAAAAGCTACGAAGACGACCGCCGGGAGGAGGCAAGCCAGAGATTCCACAACAATCTGCTTAGGCCGCATCCTTGCTGAACTCTGAGCTATTTATATCGCGCGCTTTAGCTTGAAGAAGGCAGAGGGTGCTTAGCGCGGTGGTCGAACGACCCACGGGTCAATCGCTAGGTGGCAAAGCGAAACCTTGGCTCGCACGCCCGAGAAAAAAACTGAAGTCATCCTGGCGAGCGATTTTGTTTGGAAGTGACTGGGCGCCGGAAAGAAAGGGTCATCAATGGATTATTATTCCCTGCACCGCTTGCTTTCACTGCTACCGAACGGCACCTGGAAGAGCTCATTGCAATGGCGGGTTGCACACACGGAGTGCTCGCCCTGTACCCCAGCATAGCTCGCTGCGACGCCTTCCGTACAATTTGCAAACTGTAAAAAGCATGTGCATCCTGCATGCATCGTTGGTCTCCGAGGCGTCCTTTGGTGCATACGTCCTGACCTATTACCTTCATTTTACCTTCATTTTGCGGTGAAGCCGTACGGCACAGGGCGCACACGCCCCTGTTGCACATGGTAAGTGCCGTGCCATGCTGAACAGGGGCAACGAGCACATTACTGCAATGCCTCTCCTTCTCCATCCAACTGAACCTCCAGCAGACGGAATACATATCACCACCTTTTCATCAGGAACGATCTCGCCGCACTCAGCGCCCTACACAGCTTAATTGATTACACGGGCAGGTATGCCATGCGCACCCCGCTGATCCAGCCGGGGCTGCCCCCGAAACCCTTCTTGGGGCTGGGGTTGCGCGGGTCTCCCTGCTTCAGCCAGCACTGCCGGAAACGGAAGAGCTCACCACCACATCCCCGGGAGTCCCCGCACCAGGTCCAAGTGTTGCACCCCTGGCAAAGGTAGGGTGCCGTACACGCACATACACAGTGCGCGTGTCAAAACCAAGGAACACTTCAAGCCCTTACAGCAGGTTCAGTTTTCTACAGGCGCGCATGCTGTGGTGGTCCAGCATGGTGACCTATCTAGGAAAGCAGTCCTATGGGTGATGCCCGTACGTGCGTGCGTACGGCACCCTCCACGTGACTTATAATGCGCGTTGGGAGCCGTCGAGCTGCCTTCGGTAATAAGCCACCTGTCCAGACCTACCCTGGTCTTGGCGCACTGACTACAGCAGTCCTCAGCAGAGTCGGCCGCATTACTGTCGCCAGAGACGAGGACCTGCTGAATCAACACGCATATCACCATGGGCCAAGTTACCGTACCGTATCAGTTACGCTCTCAGTACTGGCTGTACGACAATCCTTAGTAACGTCCACACGAAGGCTGAAGAACGTACATTCAAAAAGACCCAACAGCGGCCTTGTACATAGCCAATCTATGGGGACGTTGTACGTTGTTCTTTCAGGCTTGTTGAACAACGCCTGCGGCTCATCAACAAACTTCCGGGGGGACATCGACTCTCCCGGGCCCCCACCTTGCTCTCCTTGAGGTCCGTGTCCAGCAGTACAGTGCACGGGCGGTACGTGGAGCAGCTCTGGATTGCGTTGCTGGGTGCGTTCGCGCAGCTGGATTCCACCTGGCACGAGGGGTTGCTGTACTCGTCCACAGGAGCGCATACACCCTGCAGTGCCAGAGATAGGACAAGGACCCTCAGGGCGACGTGCATGCATATCAGGGCGATCCTTTAGTCACTCATCCTTTTGGGCCATCACAGCTCCAGCAACCCGCGCAAGCATAAGCCAAGACCAGAATGACCCTCAGAGTTCTGAGCCTCTAGACGACGTGCATGAAGGTAAGGGCGATCCTTTAATCAGTCACTGTTATGGGCCATGCGCCCATGCCAGCTACAGCAGCATGAATCCGCGCATGCATCAGCCAACGCGGGCTAAACAAAGGCACTAACATGCAGGCTACAGCAACGCAAGTGCCGAAGCGCGCTTGCATAGCCCCCATCAAAGTGCGTGCCGAGCTACATGCATCTCTACATGCATGTGCTCGCTCACTTACTTCGAACCGGTAGCCCCCGTACACATAGCTCGGCTGGCACTTGCACGAGTAGCTGGATTCAGGCCCTGCCGTGGTGCCGTCCACCACTCCGGACGCAGTGGTGCCGCTGATCCAGCCGGAGGGCTGGTCGGGCGCATTCTTGGCACGCGGGAAGCGCCCGGTGGCACCGCCGCCGCCGCCGCCGGCAGGAGGCACGTCGTACTTGAGCCAGCACTGTTTGTACCTGAAGTGTCATGGTTGTTAGTTATGGAAGGCAGCAACTGTAGAGGGGAGAGGACCGGAGTTGATGAAGAAGTATGGAAGTGGCATTGAGACAGCATGCAGGCTTCAAGCGCTGCATGTGTTGCATGGCAATGATATCCCATGCTGCATCCTGGGCTAGAGCATGCATGCAGGATTAGGACCTTAGGAAAGGCCAAAGGCCAACTTATCCCGTCCGCAGTCCATCCGATGGGTATGCACTGCCGCCGTACCGTAGATGCACACATGAGGTGACCCATGGGACTGACCGCACCTGGTTGCATCTCGGTTGCCGCCGCCTCCGCTACCAGTCGTGCAGCCGCTTACAGCGCCGCACCACACCCAAACATTGCAGCCTGAAGTATTGACGCATGCATCACGACAGGCTGTGGCGGTTGGCTGGAAGTTCTTGGTTGCGTCCGCGTCAACCACAACTGCACCCTCCGCATCGCGGTTGGCGACTGCGATGACAGAGGCTGGGGGCGAGGCGGCCCGTGCCACACCTGCTGCCGCAGCGGACCGGTGCGTGATTTAGTGCAAATTTACATTTTAATGTTGTTTATTGCAACGCATGTTATTCTGACGTTGATTGAAGGCCCGCCCGGCATCACGCCTACCGTGGAGGCAGCTGCTGGCGGCAAGCAGCAGTGCCAAAACCGCTGGTAGCTCACCGCGCGATCGCAACATACTGGAGTCCTGAGAAATAACTGGTTTACGATTTAAGGTATTTGCAGGATTCAGAGAGGGTGCTGGAAAAGTGAGCTAAAGTTGCTGCGTCCGCAAGCCAAGGCGCAAGCAGGTCGCGGCAGCTCCTCCAAATCTTGTTGCCGTGACTAACCTTGGTGCCTACATTGGGTCCGACCAACGTCAACCCAGTAGAATAATATTATGTCAAAGAGTTTGTCTTTATCAATTGTTATGTAGCACGTGATTGAGTAAAAGCGGCCGCAGCTTGACCCTACCTCAAGCGACCGATAGCCATCACGTATGTTGGAAACACTCCTTGCTTTAAAGTAATTGAGTAATTCACAGCTTACCGTAAGAATCCGTTCGGCAGGCTTGCATGAACGAAGGGTTCCTTGTTAGCAAGCATAGGACCTCCGGTCCTATTTAGACCTCCGGTTTGAGGCAACCCTACGTCGGCCAGCAACACACGAGTGATACAAAATCTAGCTAACCTGCGTACCGGCTAAGCTGTGTACTATGGAGCGCACCCGACGGCAGTCAAGTGCTTATGGTTGACATGTGGGCACCAGCACGGTACCTCTTTGTCGTGCATCATTTGATCCTCGATCATCAATTGATGAAGCAATACTAACCAGCCTTGATCCTTTTCTGCCTGCAAGGCACTGATATGAATGGAGCAACGGCAAGGAGACCCATGGGTCGTTTGACAGCTGCCGGTTACCGCTTGCTATTACGGAAACTACTACTTGAAACGTGCCCAGCGGATACGAGTCGCGCGGTCGGACATGCCTCACTGGCGTGTAAAGGCATAGGTTTCAAACAAACCCCTTGTGAGGTTTAGGATCCGCAAAGCGCCCTGCATGTGCCGGCACCCCCGTCAGAGGGAGGTGCTGCTGCTATTGTACATCCACGCACATCCATCGTTTGCCGTTAAGTCCTCCCAGCCATACAAACAGCGGCTCCAGACCAAATGGAACAGCTGAGCCGCTGCCATGACCAATACACGATAGAAGCAGCGGTAGTCATAGCACCCCTGATAGGCGCGATGCTTCCTCAGCAGGAATGCGTAACCCAGAATCCTGCTGGAGAACCGCCTTTATGAAGCTCCTTGTAAACTTCCCTCCCTCCCTTGTGACCCGACTTCCTACGGTCACAGTTAGCGGCTCATAGCGGCTCAGTTAAAGTACCCCCCCCTTACCCCGCAATATACATTCCCTACGACTGCAGCAGCCTCCTGCGTTCATTGCCCTTCGTTTGCATGACCCCATCCTTCGTACACTCTGCTGCCCTCCTGCCGCCGCTATTGCCACCGGTAATCGCCACTGCTAGCTACCGGCACAGCTCGCTACTTCAATCATCATCATTATCACCATCATCACCACCATCACCATCATCATTGTAACCGCCGCCACCGCCGCCTCCCCCAGCGCTACCTCCCCCAAGCCCCAGCATCACATCTAGCAGTTCCGCGGGATCAATGTCCCGTGGGTCGCGTGGATCCGCACCCTCCACCACAAACCCGCCCGCACTCGCAATGCGCCCGGCAACCCGCGCGCCGCCCAACGCATCCACCACTTCCACCTCATCCGCCTCATCATCACCATCGCCAAACTCCGACCGGCGATCCGCTACCAAGTCCCCATTCCCGGATGCAGCGGAGGTGGCGGCGGAGGCGCGGTTTTCCTGGCGTAACTGCTCTATGAACTGCTCTAGCATGTAAACCGCGGAGTTTTTGTCTGGGAACAGGTTGTCGACGGAGCTCCCGTTTGCATCCTCAACCTCACCATTCTCCACGGCATCATCTTCCCAGCGACTGCCCTCCCCATCCGCGTATGCACTGTACGATGCAGAGGCAGGACTTGGGGGCTGCTGCTGTTGCTGTTGTCCTCCAAGCGAGAATTGCTGCTCCTCCCCCTGCTCGTCCGCTGCCCGCTGCAGAGCCGCGTACCTTGCCTCCATCTCTGCCTTTTGTTGCTCCTCTTGCAGCTGCTTTTGCTTCTCCTGTTGACGCCGGATGGTGCTCATCCAACCGTCCAAGGACAGCGGGTACAGCGCCGTCCAGTACCGCGAGTGCACCTGAGTGAGCGAGTGCGAGTGAGAGGCCGAGCGATCGACTAAGCAAGCGCACTTGAGTGTGAGTGAGTGAGTGAGCGGGGAGCGGGCGAGTAAGCGAGTGCACCTGAGCGCGAATGAGAGAGCGAGAGAGTGAGCGAGTAAGGGAGTGAGCTAGTGCACGTTCCGACTCGTGGCCTGTTACTTCACCAGCGCGTTACGGTGTATTCCCCGTCCGCACCCAAGACCCTTTCTTTTTCCCACGCTTCCTACCCCTCATTGCATTCAACGCCTTCCCAGCGCTAGCCCTCCCCTTCTGCCGTGACCCCACCGTGACCAGCCTGATACCACCGGTACAAAACACCCCTGCCCCTCCCCGCATCCGCGGTTTCCTATGGTTTGGTCTATTGTGCCCTTCCCCACCACCTCAGGTACCGTATTCTTCTTGTCCCCCCCCACCTGCATGGCGTTCATGATACCCAGCCAGCCCCCAGCCGAGGTGGCCCAGGGGCCCGGCAGCTGCGGCGGCGCCTCCCCCAGCAGCACCCGCAGACAGCCCTCCACCGCCTCCGCAGTGGCGGCCAGGTTGTAGCCGCCCTCCAGCAGCAGCCCCAGACCGCCGCAGCCCGCAGGAGCCAGGCCGGAGAGGAGGTGCGTGAGGTGGGCGAACACGGCGGGGGAGCAGCTGCAGCCGCCTGCTTGGGGCGAGGGAGGAGGGGGTTACCGGTACCACGAGGGGGAGAAGAAGAAGGGTGCATTGGGTACATGCAGAAGGGCACACGCAAGAGGCAATCCAATACCCCAGTAGTAGCAGTACCGTACTCGGCGCTTCCTAGACCTCACATTGACCACTTCCTCACTGTGCAGGATGATAAGGAAACCACGGGGAGGACACCTCGCAGAAGTAGAAGGAAAGAGACAAGAAACACACAACCAAGACAGTGAGGACTCAAGAGGCCTCAGGACTCACCCACGGGATCTCCCTTGAGCGCTCCGAAACCCGCCGCCACCAGCACCACCTGCGGTCTGAACTGCAGCCCCACCGGCAGCACCACGTGCAGTGCGGCTGATAACAGGTCGCCGTCGCTCAGGCCGTCCCGGGTCTCGGCGGCCGGGAAGGCGATGTTGAGGGTGGCGCCCTCGCCCGGCCCCTCGCCCACCTCCTCCACTGAGCCGGTACCGGGATACACGTCCCTTTGAGGAGGCCGGGGAGGGAAGAGGAGGAGGAGGAGGAGGAGGAAGGAGGCGAAGGAGTGAGGCAATGCAGGATAGGGTGGAACGGTGGATTGCAAGGGCGTGGTTGAGTGTAGGCGTCCCCGCTGCGTCCTGCAGCGTTCGTGTGTCACAGTGTACAGTATCGCTGCTCCATAGCGGCACGCCAAGTTGGGAAAAGACAGGAGAAGCAACAATGTAAGGTCATTCGGACCGCGTGGCGTAGCAAACTAGCAATACACTACTGGCTTCAAAGAATCCTGAACCTCGATCCTCCCATATCCATGTGCACCGGTATATACTTTTACTTACTCCTCATAGCGGTGCATGGAAAGCACCAGGACCCGTGGGTCTTCTTCAAATATCTCCTGCGTGCCACGCCCGTGGTGCACGTCCCAATCCACAATCAACACCCGCTGAGCCCCGTTTGCAAGCGCCGCCGCTGCCGCCACTGCTACGTTGTTCAGGTAGCAGCCGCCTCGAGCAATGTCCACACCGGCCTACAGGGAGTGCACAGGGCGCGCAAGGACTTCGAATTTTGTGGATTTTCGGTGTCCCAAACACTCCAGTAAACCCTCATAGCCCTGGTCCCCAGCGCAGTAACCCCCTCTTGCTCATCACCTCCATAACCAGTTAACCGCCCGCCCCGGCTATAGCCCACCTGAGCTCCAGGAGGCCGTACCACCGCCAACGCTCGCGCCGCCCTGCCGCTTGCCAGCGCCGCGCCCACCTCCGCCGCCGCCCCCGCCGCCAGCAGCGCTGCCGTACTCGTGTGTGCGTTGTACAGCGTGTCAGGGGCCAGAGGGGAGGGGGGCGAGGAGGAGGAGGAAGGGACAGTGGAGGAGCCAGCAGAAGGTGACATGGCGGAGCTTATGAAGGAAGCGTCTGATGTGGTGGAGGAGGAGGAGGATGCGGCAATGGAGGCGATTAGCTCCGCATTAAGGTTGCCACTGCTACTGCCGCCACTGCTGCTGCTGCTGGATGTCCCCATGCTGTGTACGGCATCCACCAGTTCCCGGCTGTGTACGGCAAGCAGCTCTGCGTCCGTGGCGGGTCGGCAGGGCAGCAGGCGGCAGCGGGGCAGCAGGCCGCGGGAGTGCAGGCGCGACATGATGGCCTGCAGCCGCTCTGGCCTGCGAGGGAGGGAGGGGGGGAAGGGAAGGAGGGGGACAGGAGGAGGTATGGAGTGGGGCCTGGTGGGTCCACGTTAAGAAGGAACCAAACCGTTTTCTTGCTGTCCCAATGTGCTGCCGTACCTCCCAGGATACGGCGGCAGTGACGACCTGTGTAGCATCATCCTCGCATCCGCTGCCAGCAACACCCCTCCGCCATCGCTACCCCTGCTGCTGCTACTGCTGCTGCTGACCGTAGACTGGGACTCCTGCTGCTGCCCCTGCTGCTGTTGCTGCTCCTGCCCAGCAAGCTGCTGCTGGTAGGCCTCCACCCATGCGTGCGGGTCGCCAAGCACCTCTGCATCCCGACTGCTGTCGTGGCCGCAGCCGCTGCACCGCACAGCGGCGCCGGTGGCACTGCTGGCTGAGGTTGAGGCAGCAGCGCGCGGTGGAGGGTGCGGCAGCGGTCGGCAGCAGTTGACGCAGAAACTGCGAGGCTGGTAGGCGGCCGCAGCAGCAGCTGCGTTGCCCGGGGGGGCCTCCTAGAGAGGAGACGGGTTGGAGGGTACCGGTATGTTATGGAGTGAAGGTTGCTGCTTTCAAGAGCGACAAGCTCCCGGAATGCATGAGTGTGGTCATCAATCGGCGTTGCTACTCTTACAACAGCACAACTGCACAAGACCGTAACGTGCTGCCACCGCCGGGCCCTAGGCTCCCTCACTCCCGGCATGAGGCACGACGTCGTTCTGACACAAGCTCCCAGAGTCGGGGTGAGCAGAGTGGGGCGAAAACAACACAAGGGCACAGGTTCAGATCACGGGGACGAAAAAGTGACTCTTCGGAAGGATTTGTGGTGAGGGGATGTGGCGACTCACTCGGCTTTCCGGCGATGATGGGGCGCCATCGGCAGGCAGCTCTGTCAGGACCTGGCTCAGCAGCTCCAGAGCCGAGGCAGGCAGCGGTGGGGTTGGCATCGGCTCTTCGTCATCCTCATACTCATGTTGCTCGCCATCGCGCTCGTCATCGAGCGGTTCTTCTACTCCATGTCTGCTTGCAGCTGCGATGACGGAGGCCGTGAGCGAGCGGTGCTGGCGACACGGCGCATTACGTGACAGTTGTGAAGCGATGACCTTTCCTACTAACTTATGGTTGATTGCGGGGATGAGAGCGCGGCTCGCGCTTCCGAGCTGTAGCGATGGGCTCCTAGCCTGCACTCTAGCGTAACGATGCATCGTTTCTGAGCAAGCACAGTACCAAGGCAAAGGAACGCACCAAACAGCGGGCTAGGCGGATTCAAACGTGGCGATCCCTTTCCGGATGAAAAGGGACGAGCATCGGGACGAGCCGAATCCAAGCTGCCATTTTGCCCTCGCTTAGCACATTGAACCTTCCAAGCCGCCTTACGTGCAAACACTAAAATGCTTGGCCCTATCGTTAGGCCGCCTTGCGCGCGCACGCTCGCGGATGCCATCCGCCGTTTCGCATCATCAACAGGTCAATCGACAGCGACAATTAATTTCAATAATGATACTCAAGATGCCTTAGTTAACAGCTTGATTAAGCAGGAATTGGTGCGCAGTCCCCGCGTAGAGGCCGTGCTACGAGCATTGGACAGGCGTGACTTCACCTCCACACATATGGGCATTCCAGCGCACGTTAGCTACTCGGTAAGGGGACGCTCAAGGGGAAAGCAGGAAAGCAACCTGGAAGAATGGACGGAGCGCATCCCTCACGGGTAGTAGGGTACCCTGCTGCTGCCCGAAGACCTCGGCGGCCGGCAGGACTCCTTAGGAACCCTTGCTGCCCTCCACAACCCCCTCCACGGCCCCGCGCTTCACCTAACAACCGGTCCCAATCTCTATAGCTCCCGCCTCATCCTCCCTACCCCTCCTCCTTCCACGGCAACCCCAACCCTGGGTACCCCCACGTCCCGTTGCAGGACAGCCAAGTCCCCATCGGCCAGGGCCAGTCCATCTCCGCCCCCTCGCTGCACGCCATCTGCCTGGGCCTGCTGGAGGGTCACGTGGGCCCAGGGGCGGCAGTGCTGGATGTTGGAGCAGGTGGGGCGCACTTGGCCTGACGGCACGGCCGGCTGGCTCAGCAACCCGCACTGTCCCAGTGAACTCCAGCACTCCAAATACCCCCCAGCTGACCCTATAACCTCCAGCGTTTTATACCGGCATGCATCCCTTCATACACCCCCTCTACACCCTTACTAGCTGTTCTACCGCCGCGCTCAACCCCATTCCGCTTCCCTCCGCCTCCTCCTCCTCACCCCCCCTCCCTCCTGTTGCCCCAGGTTCTGGCTACCTGACTGCCTGCTTCTCGCTGCTGGTGGGGCCGGCGGGGCGAGTGGCGGCGCTGGAGCGGCATGAGCGCTTAGTGGAGCAGGCGGGGTGGGTGGGTGGGTGGGCGTGGGGTGGATGAAAGGAGGAAGTGAAGTGTAACCGCGTGACAAGGCGGGGTGGGTGGGTGGGTGGGGGTGGAGCAGGCGGAGTGGAGGTTACGTGCGGAGGATAGGTTCGGGCGGGCGTACACTTGGGCGTCGGTGTAGGAAGAGCCATGCGCCTGAATGGGGGATGAGGACTGCAGGAGGCGGGTCGCACCAGGCATGGATGAGTTTAAGCCCCTCAAACCACATGCTGTTCGGTTTACCTTTCCTGTTCACTTCAACATTCTCGCTCAACGCTGTGAGCTAATGGCTGTCCGCTTGTCCCCCATCCCGGCAGTTGGGCGCTGGCATGCAGCCTGTCTGCCCACGTGGGCGACATGCAACCGACCCATGGGTCACCCGGGGCGCAAGAGCGCGACACGCACTCGTCCCAACCACAGCAGCTGGGCTCGCAAGGGGTGCAGCGGACGGGGGTTAGCAGCGGCGGGCGGCTAGTGGTACGGCTGCACAATGTGGAGATGTACCATGGCAATGTGCTGGATGGTGGGTGAGGCGCGGATGGGCGGGGCGGGTGAGGGGAGTGGCGGACTTCGCCGGCGGCACTTCTACAGGCTACCGCTGTCTCATAACTATACACCATGGTATATAATACTATTAACTGTGTAGAGTGTAATTCCTATCACTACTCTCCCCGCCCTCCCTCCCTAGACGCGGCGTTGGAGGCAGTAGGCGCCTGCGGCCCCTTCCACGCCATACACGTGGGTGCCGCGGCGCGGGAGGTGCCGGGCGGGCTGCTGGCGCTGCTGCGGCCGGGGGGGCGCATGGTGCTGCCGCTGGGGCCGCCGGTGGCCATGCAGGTACGACAGGGGGTACGACAGCGGGGATACGACAGCGGGGATACGACAGCGGGGATACGACAGCGGGGGTACGACAGCGGGGGTACGACAGCGGGGATACGACAGGGGTACGACAGTACGAGAGAATGCGGATGATTGTGTGTGTTGTACTGTGAGGAGGTAAAGTGCGGATCGCGGATGAAGAGGCGTACGAGGGGAGGGTTGCTTGCAAGGCTTGGAGAGTTGCAGCTCCACTTTTCTTAATACCAGCGCATGCTCATGAAGCTTTGCCTGTCTCTTTGTGTGTGTCCCGCGCACTCCCTTCCCGTGCGCATCTGCTTTCCTTGGGGACATCATCTTCCGATAATCCAGTACGTTCCGACTCGCGACCAGTTTTCTCAACACACATACCTACACCCCGCAGGCCCTCACAGTGATCGACAAGGCGGCTGACGGCAGCATCAGCAGCAGCCGGGTGCGGGATGTGAAGCTGCCGCCGCTGGTGCCGCCCAATGCGGAGAGGCCGCTGTGATTCGGGGCAGGGCAAACGGAACGCGGCGGCTCCTGCGGTGGCTACGAAGCCCTGGTTCCAGGGGAGCGTGTTTCTGTTGTCCAGTGTTGACAGTGAAAGCGGGAGTAGTGTCGTGGTTTGGGGTGGCAAGTAGGGCATGGAGATTTGCATGGTGGTGTAGGTGCTGAGGGTTGGAATGATGGGGGCTGCCAGCGTTTCCTGTGGCCCTTGCATACGTGGCGCACGATGGTTCCAGTGCTGTGATCTCTGTCCAGATTGCTGCTGCCTTTTAGCTGTAACTAGCGGTACGGCAGCCGTCACTGCTTCAGAGGCGGCTGTCGAAGGCTGGCTGAGCAAGCTGCCAGTCACGGATGCTGCATTGGAAGCCACGCCGACGTAGTGCAAATGCTTAACCATCCGATCTTGAATACCATCACCAGTCGCGCAGGTTATCGACTTGGACAGGAGGACCGACACAACCTCCGAACGTCCGAAGATAAAGTCGTGGTGCTGGCAAAGCGCAAAAGAAAGCCGCTAACGCTTACGGCTGCCTGTCTGGTGTCTGTAAGCACCTTTGATAAGTCGTTAAGCTGCTCCTTGCTTAGCTTGTCGAGCTCCAGCTGCGGTCCCGAAGCTGCGCCCGCTTCCTGCGCGGCCCCTCGGAGCCTTTCCAGGACACTCGGCACGTAGCCGTCCAGCTCTGATGGTGTTAACGGCATTGCGCTAGGCTAAAATGCGCTGCTGCGACGGCTACGAGCGCAATGTGCTGCAAGGACCGCAGCGGCGCGTCTGTCTGGCGGGGGGGTTCTTCAATTCGTTTGTTTTTTGTGTCCAGGAAAAGCAGCAACTAAGAATGCATGTGGTGCTTCATGACTGCTTTCGGCAATGACAGGGCTTTTCGAACTGCCGCACGGAAACGACCCGGCGGGACCATCCATGCTGCATGGGCCTTTTAGCTGTATAAGCAAGCACAAATCCCATTTGGACAAATTTACCATATGTCGCACTTCCTAAGCAGCAGCGTTTCGTTGAAGCGCAGAGGCAAAGGTCTTAGTGCGACGCTACATGTGCCTTTGGCGGCCAAGGGTGCGTGGTGGCCAAACGACACCAGATACTGCATAGGTAGCACCTAGTCAGGCGGTATGCAGCGACTTGTTAAGGAGGAAGCAAATGAGCCAGGGCTGTTGGCAAGAGAGCGCCTGCCTGAACAGCCTTATGTTGCGTGGCGCCCTGACGTCCAGGCCGCTTCATATCCGGAACAACAGGGTTTCGGGGGATTGGTACCCAGCACCCTCATGAGCTCGCTGGCTTAGAAAGCCGACTTGCCCACCGTCGGTATTGCATTGAGCGCCCACCCATACACCATGTGCGCCGGGTGGACCCAATAGGCTGAGATCTCCCGTTGAATGGGTATATGCTATTGCAAGCGCATGCGCTATCTTATGTTCCTGATCAGCACACGGCAAAGGAGTTGCACTTCCAGGGATGGTGACGGGAATGGAAAGAGGCCCACGTGGATAAGCATACAGGTGGACCTATGGGCCCAGTACATGCGGTAATCAACATTCTCACAGTCAGTAAGATGCCGCTGGTCACACAGGGGCTTGCTCGCCCAGCTTTCTTGGTCCCCGAAAGCTGCATTTGAACTTCTGAAATGCTGTTGAGCCCGGGATACTTATCCTGCTGTAGATTCACAACAGGTGAATAGTCACATGCTTTCGACAAAAGACCTCCCAACATCCTAACAAATCATTGAAGCTGCCTAGAAGCATAAAGTGAACACCACCTTGCTGTCTAGGGGTTTTCCATATATCCACAGATCACAAGGAACGTTTGGCGCCCGGTGGGCTAAGTTTAGGAAGCTCATCGGGGGCGCGATGGTCGTCAGGAGGACCTCTTCCGCTGACTGCTGTATTTAGCCTCATTGGTGTACCCCAATATAGTTTATGTTATGGAGAAGGACTTCTTGAGAGACTTGGGTGAGTGAACGGAGACCCTGGAGCCTGTCTTCGGCCGCCCCGCAATTACCCGCTTTCCCCCACCCCGCAATCGCCCCTTGCGCAGACTCTCCCATATTCGCACAAAACTTTGCCAAAATACGGGTAGATTAAACTTCTATACACAGGTGAGCCCCGCCCTCTTGAAGGTCACTTTTCTCTCCGGGGGTGCGAAAGCGCAGCGTCATCGCGCCCGCGCCACGACCAGCGTTCAGCCCCCCAGTGGACACTCTCCCTTCAAATATCATAAGAAATACAATAACTTCTCTGGCATCCCGCGCAGGAGGACGGAGCTATTTGGTCTTCGGTACCCCGGAGCAGGACTTGCAGGTATGGCTTTCCCCGCGCGCCTCCGCGGCCCCGCCGCTACCACGTTTCTCAGGGTATACATTGTAGGACCTCAGGGTGATGGGAACTGGGCCATGCGAGGGATGTTAAGACCTGCAGGAGTCGCGACCTTGGGCGCGGTTTGGCTTAGGGGCCGGGCTGGTATTGGGACAGCCGGAGGTCCCCCTGGGGTCCACTCCGCGTTGCCTTTGTGTTGAAGGCGTTGAAGCATGTTATCAAAGTTCGGCGGCAATCCCCGGGGTAGTAGTAGCCCTAGGTATCGGGCTGGTCCTGCGTGTGTAGACCTGCACCCTTCGTGACCCCTTCCCCGCAAGCTTGTTGGCCCAACATGTTGGGTGCGAAGATTTTGGCTGTAGGGGTTTCTGTTCGGAGCACCTGTTCTTATGCGGGACCTTGCAACCTGCAGTCTGCACGGTGTGTCGCTCAGGCTCGCAACCAGTTAACACAGCTTTTTGACCGGCACTCATCACTGCCTGCCAATCTTTCCCTTTTCCCATGCCTGGTTTCCTTCAGAGTGCCAAGCTTGCAGCACATCGGAAAAGCTGCGTTTGACGCGAGATCAGAAGCAGCAGCAGCGGCAGCGTCCCTGCTGCCTGTGGCGCCACAGGGCAATGCGCAACTAGGATCGCGAGCGGTAGAGGCAGCAAGACACAGCGCAAGCGCATTAGGAGGTGTAGCCAAAGGAGGAGCGGAAGCGACGGGAGGTAGCGGCGGGCGTGCTGCTGACTGACAGGTGGGTTAACGGGATGGCAGGTGCAAGGTGCGCTCGAGTGCGGCGGAGGGTGACGTACGCTTCAGGGCTTGGCCTGGCTCAAAACAGTGCTTGCCGTGTCTACGACCTCACACTACAAGACGTGATCGCCTTAGTCAAGGCAATAACTCACCTAACGGCAAAGCTACAGTGCGGATGTGCTACTTTAGGTGACACACGCTCATACGGCACATTCCTCGCAGTCCTTAAAGGGCAGACCTGCTGTCTTCCTGGCACACTACCTTGAAAGGCATATCGCCCTTGCGACAACCTTTCCTTACAAGGCTGCACCCACCTGTGGCCCCTTGCGGTTTGCCGCAGCCGCCTGCTTCCGCACTCTCTGTGCGGGCCGCTGGCGTCCCTCGCCATGGAGGCCAACCGGCCCAAGGACCCAGACGAGGGCAAGGTGTTTGGAAGGGGCATGCGCAGGGTCAACGATCCCGCCATGCCAGGCAGTGGCGATACCTCATCCTCAAACCCATGTGGGGTTTCCACGCTTCCCCTTTCAGCCGAGGGTGCTGCGAGGGATGGTGTGGCTGGGGCCCGTTGCCGTACATCTAACCCTCACGGCGGTTCTGCTGTGCCTTCCGCCAGCGCGCGTGCTGGTACGGCACCCCTAACGGAGGCGGCTGCCGTCGGGAACGGCAACGACAACGGTCCTTGCAGCGCTGTCGACGATGACGGTACGGCAGACGAACACCGCGATGATGCTAACCGTGATGCGGCTGTTGCTGCTGCGGGTAATGATGAAGGGGCTGATGACGGCGGGGTAGTGCCTTCAACCGGTGGCGGCAGTGGAGGCGCAACGGGAGCTGGCGGCGGAGGTGGCGGTGTGTCGCCCATGCAGGTGGATACCGCCGGCTCGCCGGACCCGCCGTCGGCGGCGGCGGCGCTGACGGCGGCGACTCCCGGGCTGGCGGCGACGTCGCCCGGCAGTCAGGGCCTGCGGCGGTCAGCCTCCAGCGGTAAGGGCAAGGGCAAGAGCAAGCAGATGGACATGGACCTAGACCTGCCGGATCTGGATTCGGAGCCGGACCTGTCGGAGCCCGAACCGGATCCGGAGGCCGATGGCGGTTATGAGGAGGACGACGAGGAGGAGGACATGGTAGACATGGGCTCCGCAGCGGCGGCTGCTGCGCCTCCTGACGCATTGCCTCCTCCTCCGGCGGGTGTTGCCTTGCCAACTGCTGCAGCAGCGGGTCTACCAGGTGTAACACAGGGAGCCCTCCACGACGCTCCTGGGGCCCTGCTGGTGCAACCCGCGGAAGCAGCGGCGGACGCCGAGGCCGCTGCAGCGACCGCAGCGGCGGCGGCGGCAGTGGTTCCAGGAGCAGGCGCGCCGCTGTCGTACAATGCTGCCGCCGCCAGTCGTGATGCCAGCGTGGAGGTTGGCGGCAGCGGCACGTACGGCATGGGCCGTACCGGCAGTGAGGGAGAGGACGAGCAGGAGCAGCAGGAGGAGGAGGAGGAGCGCAGCAGCAACAGTGATGAGGATGACGAGGACGAGGATGGTAGTGGCATCGTCATGCCGGGAGTGAAGAGCCGCAGTCGCAAGAAATCAAAGAAGCAAGCAGGGGCAGCGGAGGCTGGCGACGGCGCTGTTGCCGCCGCCGCCGGCACGGCGGGGACCGCTGCTGAGCTGGATGCGCCCGGTCTGTGGGCAGATGACGAGGATTACATCTACAAGGATGTGGACCCGAACGACCTGGACATTGGTATTGAGTTCCCCAAGATGGAGTTCAAGCCGGAAGACCTGGAGCTGCCGCCGGACGAGTTTGCGTCCGGTGACATCGGCCATGTGGGGGAGGGCGAGGAGATTGTGATGGGGGAGGACGGCAGGCCGGTAAAGCGAGTGCGGCTGAGTGCGGCGGCGCTGGCGGAGGGGGAGGCGTTCATCGGGCTGGAGGGACTGGTGGGTGGGAGGCGGGAGGGGGGAGGCGGGGGAAGGGGGAAGGGAGGTGGAAGAGCGAAGGCAGGTGCAAGAAGGGGTCTTCATTAGAGGGGTGGGGGGAAGAGCGGTACCGAGGCCTGAGGCAAGGAGGAAATGGTCTGTGTGTTCGACCGTGTTAGTGTACGTAGCCGGTCCATTGGGAATGACCCCGTCCTGTGGCTCTTCTCCGCAACCCAAGCCACCTTACCTCTCCCTCCTCCCCACCTCCTTCCCCCCCTCCCCCCAGGTTTCCTGGGGCCGCGACGGCACCTACCGCGGCACCATCACGCGCTTCGACCCCAGCCGCTCCCGCCACATGTGGCTCATGTCGTACGAGGACGGCGACGAGGAGTGGGGCGCCGTCACAGAGGACCGCACCGGCTGGCGAGTGCACGGGGGGCTGCGACCGGTGGCATGGGTGGGGCAGCCGCCGCCGCCCACCGACCCGCTCAATGTGGCGGCGGCGGCGGCGGACGCGGTTCCGGCGCCGGCTAGCGCTCAGCGGCAGGTGGCGTCGCCGCCGCCCGCACAGGGCTTCATCGTGAACTTCATGAACGCAGAGATTGAGGTAAGGGCGGGGGCTAGGAGCTAAGGGGGGGGCTAAGAGGTAAGGGCGGGAGCTAGCGGGTGGTAGCTAGCAAGGGGAAGCCTAGGTAGGAGAAGGCAGAGAGGAGCTGTGAGGGGAAAGGAAGTTGAGCAGGTGCCACGCTGCCGGGTTCGCCAGTCGGCCAGAACACCCACACTTGGCCATATCACGCCACTTCCATTGGTCTACGGTCATGGTTTGTGTTGGCAAGGAGTCCTTCCTTCCCTGATCACCGCCCCTCACCCTCCGCCCTCATCTCCAATGCCTGTGCAGGTTGCTGTGGGTCGCGATGGCCAGACCCGCCTGGGCACCATCGTCGACTTCGACCCCAACCGCCCTCGCTACAAGTGGTACGTGCGCTACATCGGCTACGCGGAGCCCGCGTACGGCGGCAGCGGCGAGTGGGGCTGCCTGGACGATGAGAAGACCACCTGGCACACACACGGCTACAAGCGTCCCGTGCTGTCAGTCAACGGCGGCGTGGGCGGTCTGCTGCCTGTAGCGCCGCCCAAGCCCACCGCTGCGGCGGCTGCCGCCGCCGCAGGCGGCTTCACTCCGCGTAAGGGCCCCTTTGGCCGTACCGGCCTGGGTCTGCTGTACCTCATATCGGCTTCGGAGCCGTGTCCTGACGGCAAGTACCGGCTGCCTGTGATGGCGCTGAGTAACATGCGGGGCGGGTACGGCTCGGCAGCGGGTTTCGCAGCGGCAGCCACGGGGGCCAAGGGCGGGCTGGGGTTGGGTGCGTTGGGGCTGCCTGCCAAGCCGGAGCGGGTGAGCAGTCAGGCGATGGCGGGGGTGCCGGATGAGTACGGAGCCACGCTGGTTGGCGCCAAGATTACGGTGAGGAGGGGGGGAGGCGGCTGGGGAGGAGGGGGCCGTTTGGGGGAAGGTGTGAGGGCTGGGGAGGGATTGATGGCTTGTCAGGAGGGGCAGTTGGGGTTGACGAGTGGAGGGCGGAGAGCAGGGGTCGAGAACATGGTTTACATCTGCGGGCTGCGTACTGCAACGTTGTGTCTGGAACGTTTTACACGTTACACGTTGCACCAAGCAATGGTGGCAACATCATCACCAACATCGTCACTGCTGCCATGTCGTCGTCGTCCCTCCTAAGGACTCTTACAACTTTAACCCCTTATCCTAACCGCAGATAACGGTGGGTCGCGGCCAGGGCCACAAGCGCACCGGAACCATCACAGAGTACGACGCCAACCGCCCCAAATACCGCTGGCGGCTTACCTTTGACGCGGCGGGCGAGCCGGCGCACGGCGGCATGGCCGAGTGGGGCATGCTCAGTGAGGATCAGTCGCTGTGGCTGGCGCACGGCTACAAACGCAACATCACAGCGCTTGCGGGGGTTCCAGACCGCAAGCCGAAACCAGCGGAGCCGCCGCCTCCGCTGCATTCACCCAGTACGGCAGCTGGAATGGCGGCGAGGGCGGTGTCGCCAGGGTTTGGAAGCCAGGTGCTGCAGGCGACGCCGAGTGTGGGAGACCGAGCTGCTGCTGCGGCTGCTGGGGGTGCGGCTGCTGGTGGAGATGCCATGGATGTGGACGAGGGTGGCGAGGATTGCGGGCCGGAGTTGATGCCTGAGGATGCGGAGGCGTCGCCTGGGGGGGTTGGTACGGCAGACGGCGACGCTCCGTCGGGCTCGGTACAGGTGAAGACCGAGGGTGGCGGCGGCAGCGGCGGCAACCCTGATATCGACCCCGAGGTCGACGCCGCGTTGCTGACGGCGGCGACGGCGGCGGTTGCCATGATGTACGGCGGCAATCCCGAGGTGGTTTCGGAGCTGGGTATTGACACGTCGGACCTGGTGGTCGAGCCGGTGGAGGAGCTGGGGACGAACCTGATTGGGGCTCGGCTGCTGGTGGGTTCCGGTTGGGAGTGGGGATGCCGGGGGGTGGGTGGCGGGTGGCAGGAGGGGGAGTAGGAAGGGGTTGCGGTGGTGAAGAGCTCACTTCTGTGTTCCGTACTTCCGAGGCGGTGTGCCGTACCTCCACATACGTTGTCGGTTTGCCGTCATTGCCGCCCCATGCATTCGTCGCTTGGAACCAGCGATCCAGCTTGCATGCCTCCTAGGAAGGCTCACCTCACCTGCGCACCCGTTTTGGCCACCTACCTAGGAGTACTTACCCCTGTTGTCCACCTACCACCCCATATCGCAGGTTACCGTGGGCCGAGGCGGCGCTCGTCGCAGCGGCACCATCACGGACTACGAGCCCAACCGCCCGCGCTACAAATGGCGCCTCGTGTACGACGCAGAGGTGCTGCCGGTGGGCGTTACACCCGCCGCAGCTGGGGGCAGTGCAGCGGCTGCTGCGGAGGGCGCCGCCACAGCGGCTCCTGCCGACGGGGCGGCTCCCACAGCCACGGCCACGGGCACAGCTCCCTATGCAGCGGCGGCGGCGGCAGCAGGGGCCGGAGCCGCCACCGAGGGTGAAGCTGCGGCGGCAGCCCTGGCTAACGCCGACGCCGCATCCCAAGCCGCCGAGGGGAAACCCCCGGCGGCGGCAGCGGCGGCTGAGGCTAGCAACCCGGCGGCCGCGGCGGCCGCAGATGCCGCCGCTGTGGAGCCCTCTGCTGACGCCGGCACAGCCGCTGCCGGCATTGTTGTGGAGGGCGAGTGGGGCACCCTGAGTGACGACCGCACCGCATGGCTGTGCCACGGATACCGCCGTACCATCCTGGCGTCAGAGGGCGTGCCCGTACTTCCGGCGTCGTACTTCCTTGCTGCCGCCGCGGCGGCGGCGGCGGCCGCCGGCGTGCAGTCGCCGACCCGGAAGCGGCGACCGGGCTTCATTGACGAGCAGTCCGTGGCATCGGCGCTGCTAACGCTCGGCAAGCGGGCGCGGCGGGAGGCTAAGGCAGCGGCGGCGGCAGCGCGGGAGGCCCGACAGGCTGAGATCGCCGCCGCTGGTGGTCATGTGATCCTGGTACAACACTCCCCGACCGCCGCAGCAACTCCGGCTGACGGCGCACCGAGCCAGCCCGCCGACGGCGAAGCCGCCACCACTGCTGACGCCGGCGGCGGCGGTGGTGAGGCCGCGGGGGGCAGCGGCGTGCCTCAGGTCAAGCGGGTCAAAGTGGAGCTCACACCCGGCGGCGAGACTGGGGCGATGCCCGGAGTGACGTACGTACGACAGCCTGTCGCCACACTGGGATTGTCGTACGGATCGGCGGCGGCGGCGCCGTCGTCACAAGCTGCCGGCGGCGAGGGCGCCGCGGCAGGCGAGCCGGCTGACGCGCCGGTCAACGTTGGACCCGTGTCGCCGGTTGCGAACCCAGAAGGCGTGGTGGGCTTGGAAATCGAGGTTGACCGGGTGCCGGACGGCAGGCAGCGGGGCCGCGTTCTGTCGTACGATCCCAAAAAACCGCGTCTCCGCTGGCTGATCCGCTACAATGACGGCAACCAGGAGTGGGGCACGTTCGCCGACGACCTGTCGACGCTGCGAGTGTATGGCACGATCCGACCGATCACATGGACGTCGCGGCCGCCGGCGGCACTACCCAAGGGCAAGGGCGCGAGTCGTCGCTCTTCTGCCGCCAGGGCGTCGCCAGCCGCCGTCGGCGGCGGCGGCGCCGCCGCCGCCGCCGCTGCCGCAGTCGGCGCCGCAATCGGCGCACCCGGCGGCAGCGGACAGCTGGTCTCTGCGGGGAGCGGAGGTGCTGGCAACGGCGGCGGCGGCAGTCGCCCTGCTCGCCGCAACTCGGAGAATGGCGATAGCGACTGGATCGGCGGCACGGGCAGTGGCTACGGCAGCGCTGGCACGGACTACCGCTATATTTTCCGCAGGAACGGCATGTGCCGCGCGCAGATCACGCACCAAGGATGCGCCATAATCAGGTAAGGAGGCTTGAGGGCCTCCTAGAGGACCTCGGCCACTGGCCGTCTTTATTACCATGTCGCTGGTCCTCTAGTTATTGTTCCATTTGGGTTCATCCAGGGCTCATCCGCAGCTTTCCATGCGAGCAATACCGGTAACTACGGTAAACCATGCTGTATCCCTACATTTTGCCCCGCAGCCCCTACTACGACACCCCCGAGGCCGCTGCCGCCGCCGCCGACTACTACAACTACAAGCTCCGCGGCACGTCTGCGCACCTGAACCTGGGCCTCACGCCCGAGCAGCGGCTGGTGCTGGACCAGCTGAGTCTGGAGCAGCTGCAGGCCTACATCAAGGGGCGGGGGGACATACACGACCTGTCCAAGGCACTGCTGCAGTACGCGGGCCCGGCCGGAATTCAGTTGCACCAGCAGCTGCAGGCGCACCAAGCCATGCAGCAGTTGCTGATGCAACAACAGCAACAGCTCCTGCAGCAGGAACAACAAGAGCAAGAGCAACAGCTGCAGCAGCCGCAGCAACTGCAGGAGCAGGTTGAGCTGCCAAGGCTTGCATCGCACCAGCAGCAGCAGCTGCAAGACCTGCAGGAGCAGGAGCAGCAACGGCAGCAGGAGCAGCAACGGCAGCAGGAGCAGCAACGGCAGCAGGAGCAGCAACGGCAGCAGGAGCAGCAACGGCAGCAGCAACAGGAGCAGCTCAAACAACAGCAACAGGAGCAGCTCAAACAACAGCAACAGGAGCTGCTAAAGCAACAGCAACAGGAGCTGCTCAAACAACAACAGCAACAGCAACTTCGGCAACAGCTGCTGGAGCAGCAGCAACAGCTGCAGCGACAGCAACAGGAGCAGCTCAAACAACAACAACAGCAACTACAGCGGCAGCAACCGCAGGAGGAGGACCTCCCTCAACAGAGCACCCAAGAGCTAGAGCTCCTGCGTCAACGTCAGCGGCAGCAGCAGTTCTACCTAGAACAAGCCCGGCGGCTTGCATTAGCGGGCGGTAGCGCTGGCATGGGAGCCGCCACGTCAGCCGGTCAGTTGGCCCCACAGCTCCAGCAAGCCTACCGCTTGCAGGCTCACGCCCATGTTGCAGCGCATCCCCAGGCCCCGGCACACCCCCACGCTCAAGCCCACGCGCTACAGCTGCAGCAGCTACAGCAGCTGCAAGCCATGCAGCGAGCTCAGCAGCAACATGCTGCTCAGAAGCAGCAAGGTGGCGAGGGCGGCAGAGGCCATGTGGAGGGGGGGGATGCGGGGCTGGAGGGAGGCGGTGCGATGCCGTCGGGGTTGGCGTTTGGGGAGGAGGATGCGGGCATGGGCGTGGACTTGGGTCTAGGGCCGGGGATGACGGATGTGGGGGTGGGTTTTGCGTCGGAGCATCATCACCATCACCTCCACCAGCACCCTGCGCAACACCAGCTGGCGGGGGAGGAGCTGCAGCAGCAGCAGGACATGGAGTTGTGATGGTGTGGAGGAGTGGCGACGTGCCCTGATTAGGACGGGCGTGTCAAGGGGTGTCCTGGACTTGGAAGGCGTACCCGGACGTCCTGGACAACTGGGAAAAATGTCAAGGTGTGGGAAGGGTGTCCTGTGAGGGTTGGCGCCTTGGCGGCTCTACGAGTTATGGGAGTTTAGTGGTTGGTGCGAGCTGGGGCCTCTCCCGAGGAGATGAAGCAACGCCAGTAGCCATGCAGCGGTAAGCGTGAGCGCTGGTGAACGGCGAGGTGTGGGATCCTTAGTTGTCATTGGGCTGAATAGAATAGTTGTTGTTGTCGTTGTTGCGCAACGCTTTAGTGCCCTCGTGGAAAAGTGTAGGGACGGGATTGGACAGGAGGCAATGTAGGGATGGGCTGGTGGGGGATGATTCAGTTCGAATGACGGCTAGCTAGGCCGTAATCGGTGAAGGCGGCCGTTGTGTCACAAGATAGGTGTGGGCGCACAGCATGTTTGCGTGGGGGCAGGATGTCATAGGTCATGTTGAAAGCCGCAGCCTCCTGGGTTTTCACTCGATAGCAGTAGTTTTCGATGCATGCTTGCGAGCGGGTCCTGGCTGCCAATCCTGCCGTACCACGAATGTACTGTACAAGGGAGGTAACGTACTGTGAGCTAGATTGTCATATCATCGATGCGGCAAACGGCGTGTAACACTCGGGGTGTTGCTTGGCGGTCTGCTGCCATTTTCGTCTGTGCCCCCTTAACGATACTGTAATCTACCATGCATCAATGCACCCGGCGTGTCGACAAATGTACAATCGGTACAGAAGCCAATAAACAACGCAGGCGACAAGGCGTTATTTCAACCCCACCTCCAACCGAGAGGCTACCCAGCCATGCGTCTCTCACCACATGCGCTACACACCTGCTCTTCAGTTCTCCTGCTTAACGGTTAGCCTGGGGCTCCCATGTGTGTGATGCAACCCTACATCAGCTTCTGCATTCTTCGCGGTTCTCGCCAAGCTCGTACCCCTGCTAGTGTGCTAATGCTGACAACCCTTTAAGGCGGGATCCGCTGCCCAAGGCTGCAGACCGAATGCATACTTCCTCGGTTCGCAACAACAACCCCCATCTTCGATCATACCGTTTCCTCCCTACAGAATTGACACCATGTTCGTCCATAAGCTGCTTGCGCATCCTGCTTCAGTCGGCTACCAATACCCTGCCTTATTTGGCTCCAAATACCGGTGACTACCGGTACTGCAGCAGTGCCTTGGACAGGTTGTGTATGTCCCCCCGCCCCTTGATGTAGGCCTGCAGCTGCTCCAGACTCAGCTGGTCCAGCACCAACCGCTGCTCGGGCGTGAGGCCCAGGTTCAGGCGCGCAGACGTGCCGCGGAGCTTATAGTTGTAGTAGTCGGCGGCGGCGGCAGCGGTCTCGGGAGTGTCGTAATATGGGCCGCAGACGTTGCCGAACGGCATGGTGATAAGAGCGCGATACGACTTGTTCTTCCGTTCAATGTATCGGTAGCTCGTGCCACCAGCGCCGCTCCCTGGAGCCAGACGAGTGGCAGGAAGCGCACTGGGCAATGCAGCAGCGCCGCCGCTGCCGTTGCTGCCATCAGCGGTGTTATTGCCGCCGTTGGCAGAGCCGTGGGCACTGCCGCTGGCGTGCACAGCAGCAGCTGCTGCTGCCGCATTTCGGCCCTGGCTTGGCTGCGTGGCATTGCTGGCCAGCAGGCCCTGCTGGCTTCCGCCGGCACAAGCAACTTCTTCCCGCGCGCTGACGCCCTGGCTGCTTGCGGCAGCGGTTCCAGGCTGGCTGCCGCTGCCTGGGCCGTCATCAGGCACTGACCCACGGGTCGACAGCACGCGGCGCTTGTAGCCGTGGGTGACCCATGTGGTCCGCGCGGAATCCAGGAAGCCCCACTCGCCAGGGGGTGTCGTACCGTCATTGTAGCGCAGGTACCACTTGAAGCGCGGACGGTTGGGGTCAGCATCCACAATGGTTCCGGAGCGGGGCTTGCCGTCACGACCGATGGCGACCTGCCATGAGCAGAGACCACCGTTTGTTAGGGTCAGGACATCGTAAGTTAGGACAAGTCACGACTGGGCCATGTGACTTTGCCATGTCTTCCGCACGCGTCCAGGCATCGCCCATGAACGTCCAACGAAGCGCCTCAAGTAGCACGCAGCTTACCTCCAGCTCCAACCCCATCAAGCCCTGCTTCTTAGGAGAGCCCTCAGCATCCTGCGTCGCAGCCGCCTCCTCCGAACCCACTCCGACCGCTGACGGTTGTTCCTCAGCCATCAGCTCCCGGTCCGCCTTGGGCTGTCGTACCGCCGCTGGTACAGCCGCCGGTACGGCAGCGTCCGTTACCGCTGCTGCAGTTGCGGCATCAGCGCGCCTGGGTTGAGGCTGCGGTTGTTGCTGCTGCGGAGCTGGTGGTTGCTGGCTTAGCTGTCGCTGCGGCGGAGGCGGAGGCTTGCGCGTCCACTTGATGCTGCGCAGCCCCCCATGCACTCGCCAGCCGGTGCGGCCCTCTGTGACGGCGCCCCACTCCTCGTCGCCATCCTCGTAGGTCATCAGCCACTTGAGCCTCGCGCGCCGGGGGTCGTAGCGAGTGATGGTGCCCTTGAAGGTGCCCTCGCCGCCCCAGGAAACCTGCACGGGGGCGACCGGGCAATGTCGTACTTCGTAAGTATGCCTACTTACAATTACAAAATCGTCTCCTTTGCATGGTTGCGTGGCCGAGTGGTCTAAGGCGTAGGATTAAGGCTCCTATCCGAAAGGGCGCAGGTTCGAACCCTGCCGCAGCCAGGTTTTGATTCGTTTCTCTGCTTTTTCATAGCTTAATTTTTTTGCTGTATGTTGAATGCTAGGTTGTATTATCTACAAGAACTAAAATTGCATTATTATATAATATGCCAACAGGAAAAATGCGGATGGTTGGGCGGATGAGGGCCTTGTGATGGCAAGTCTTCGCTTCTTTCGCATGGACCAACGCCTCCCATCCACAGCCCCAACCCACCAGGCCCTTAGCTCCAACGAAAGCCTCCTCTCCCGCAAGGGTCGCAGCACTCAGCCGCGCTCGCTTCACGGGCTTGCCATCCTCATCTCCTGACGCGTCATCCTCCTCCTTATCCTCTTCGTTCCTGAGGTCTTCGTCATCGTCGCCATCCTCCGAAGCAGCCGAATGTGCCCCAGTTGACCGCCGCTTCGCCTGCCAGCCCCTGCGCTTGCGAGGCGAACCGGCTACCGCCGCGCTCTTGCTGCCGCCAGCCATGCCGGCATCAGCCGCCCCAGCAGCTTCCGTACGGCGCTCCTCCACAGCTGCCGCCGTACTTGCCGGCGCTGGCGCATTCGCCGGCGCTGTATGCTCTGGCAGACAGCCCCTGTGCCTGCGGGACGGCAAGCCCGCATCTGCCCCTGCCGCTGCCTCGCCAGCGCCAGCGCCGACGTCAGCGCTACGGTCGTCTGCGCCGATCACTGCAGTGTTGCATACGGCCGCCACCGCCACCGCCACCTCAGCTACCGCCGCCGGTCCGGGTACTGCTGATCCGGTCGCCGCTATGGTCATGCCAACGTCATCAGGAACGACGAGACGTGGCTCATCAAAAGCAACTGCTGCTGCCGGGACGTCAGCGGTTACGGTAGCCATCGTGGTATCCGCGCCAAGTCCATTCGCAGTAGCTGCAGCTGCACCTGTTGCGCCTAGCATGGCTGATGCCCCCTCTGCGCCTCCTGCCGCGCCGTCGTCGTGCTCCTTGGGAATAACCGCCGCCACCGGCTGCATATCTATATCCCTACCACGGCTCGTACCCGCACCGGACGAAGGAGCCGTCGCAGCGGCATCCGACCGTGCGGCCACAACTGCCGCTTCTGCATCTGCCGCTTGGGGAGCAAAGGGCCTCTGGCATGCAGCAGCAAGGACTGGCGCCTGCTGTGCTGCCGCTGGCGCCGCTCGGCCGACGTTTCCTGCATGGAGTCCCTCGGCCGTCGCTGCTGCTGCGTCGTCGTGTGTCGCCGTCGACTTCGCCTTTGCAGGCACAGCCGTTGACTTGGGTTGCTGAGGCGGCTTGCGCGTCCACTTGATGCTGCGCAGCCCCCCATGCACTCGCCAGCCGGTGCGGTCCTCTGTGACAGCGCCCCACTCCTCGTCGCCGTCCTCGTAGGTCATCAGCCACTTGAGCCTCGCGCGCCGGGGGTCGTAGCGCGTGATGGTGCCCTTGAAGGTGCCCTCGCGGCCCCAGGAAACCTGCGCGGGGGCGACGGGGCAATGCCGTACTCGGTAAATATGCCTACTTATAACTACAAAATCAATTGTCTTGCATGGTTGCGTGGCCGAGTGGTCTAAGGCGTAGGATTAAGGCTCCTATCCGAAAGGGCGCAGGTTCGAACCCTGCCGCAGCCAGTTTTTACTTTTTTCTCCGAAACATTGATAACTCTCTTTTTCAGCTTAATGCTAATTTTACATTTTCATATTAACAGTATTACTTTGGCGAGCAAGCAGTGAGAGGTAAGCGACATGAAACATGATTTCAACGACTGGAACTAGAACCCTCCCACCCACCAGGCCCTTGGCTCCGACGAACGCCTCCTCTTCCGCTATCGCTGCAGCGCCCAGCCGCGGCCGCTTCGCAGCTCCACCTTCATCTCCCTCCTCCTCCCCATCCTCCCAACCCTTATGCTGTCCTTCATCCGTCTTATCCGCTGCCGTCTCTGCATCTGGCTTCTGCTTTAATGACCTGCCCCTGCGCTTGGACAGCGCTTGTGGAGCAGCAGCCGTCTCCGCAGCACTTCCAAGGCCATCGCCGCTGCCAGCCGCCTCGCGAGCGCCTGCATACTCCCTCTCCTGACTCTCCTCCACCGCCGGTAACGTCGCAGCAGCTGTCTTAGCCGCATCCGTAACCACAGCCGCTGTCGCGTCCTCCGTCGGCTTTTGCTCAGGCTTAAGGAGGTAGCGGGGCGCGTCATCCGCTACCGCCATCGTCGGAGCTGTTCCCATGCCGTTGCTAGTGCTGCCAACGGCATCCGCGGCGTCGGTGGCGACAGCAGCGGCCCCGGCGACAGCAGCAGGGTTGGCATCCCGTTCTTGCGGCTCGTCGTTCCCATGCTGCCCCGGCTGATCATGCGCGGCATTCGCAATGGCGTCGGCTGATGCTGCAGGACCCGCCTCAACAAGAGCTGGAGCTGCCACTACCAGAGACGCAGCCAAGGGCAGGCCCCGTTCACATGCTGGCCCGAAGGTCTCAACAGCGCCCAGTGCCTCCGCTGCTGCTGCCGCTGCTGCTGCCGCTGCTGCTGCTGCTGGTGCCAATGCCTTTGCTGAGTCCTCATCAGCTGCTAGGTCCTCTGCACCACCGGCACCAACCTGCGGCGCATCAGCCCGAGTGGCTCCTCCTCCTCCCGCGGGTTGGGTCAGGTCTCCCTCCTCAGCCGCCGCTGCTGATGCCGCCACTGCCCCACCCAGCTCCACTCCTCCTCCTACCGCTGCTGCAGCTTGCACCAGTGCCGGCAGCGGTAAGGCCGCTGCCGCCTCCACTGCGCTCGGAGGCTGGGCCGCCGCCTCTGCTGCTTCGGCGGTGCCAGCAGCCATCACCGCGGCTAACTCCGCTGGCGCCTCCTGCCCTTCTGAAACGGCTGCTGCCTTCACCTCGGCCTGCGCTGCCTCAGCCGCCGTAGCAGCCGCCTCCGCTGTCACCACGTCAGCAGCGGCCGAACCAGCGCGCCCGGCCGATGCCGCCTGCGTTGCATCTGAAGTCGGAGGTACGGCCTCCGAAT